GGTTCCAAGAGGGCCCCCCGAACTCCCAGAGAGCACCAGCAGCAGCAGCCGCAAGAATACCTCTTGATGGTTCCATGGGTCCTCGTCCGCGTCGTCCTCATCCTAGTCCTCGTCCTCCTCGTCCTCCTCGTCCTCCTCGTCCTCGTCCTCCTCGTCCTCGTTGTCGTCGTCCTCCTCCTCCTCCTCCTCCTCCTCCTTCTCCTCCTGATCCTCCTGATCCTCCTCCTCCTCCTCTTCCCTCGCCCCCACGCGGCCCCCAGGGATGGCCCGAAAAAGAAACCTTCCAATACCATCTGCTTGTTCCCAGAGATCTCTCGGTTCACCTTGGTTGCTCGTTTTGCTTCCCTAGATGTGTCTCTTCGTCCCTTTTTCCCGTCAGCTCTCATGAGCAGGGCTTTTGCATGGGCTGGTGGGGACACGCGAAGCGTGAAACATTAGAAGCTAAGAGGCTGCAGACGGGAGAACTGTCGGTGAGCCCGCCTACCCATCCGATCGGTCGTCAAGAGGTCCCGAGCCCGAGAATGGCAAGAACGTGAGCTTTCCGGAGGTCCGCGCGGAATTCATGTATCCATGCTGGAAGCCGTTCCTTGGCGTGCGTAGCGCGCAGGTGGCTCCTGCGCCGATCCAAGATGTCCGCGCGGATCTCCGGAAACTCAGGTCTGTGCAATCTGGTGGTTCTCGATGTGCCCTCAGAGGAGGAACTACCACTTACACCGCCACCGTTGCCTCGCTTTCGATGTGCAATACGGTGGTTCTCGATGTGCCCTCAGAGGAGGAGCGACCACGCACACCGCCACCGTTGCCTCGTTGTCGTTTTCCTGGGCCGCTGGGGCAGGCCGTCGTCGCTGTGGCCGGGTGTCCTCGAAGTCTGGTCAGCACGAGCGCCGGGAGAGGCCCGCGGAGCAGCAGCCTCAGTCCTTCTCCCAGCCGCCCAGTGGTGTCGGGTCCTCGTTTTGAAGGGACAGCGCCCCGCGGCCACTCCCTCCGTCCTCCTCCCCCTCCTCCGTCTTCCATGCCGGCCTCTCGAGGCCCATGGAGGACGGAGGAGGGGGAATTCGAGGCCATTCTCTGGCCTGCAGGTCAAGTTCGACTTTTTGTCTTTCTCGGCCCCACTGTTACCTAGGCCCCAGCGGGCTCACAGGCATCAGTCCTCCAGCAGAGAGAGCACGACCCAGCATCACAGCCAGCGTCCGACCGACCGACCTCCATGCCGGCCTCTGCTCTCTGCAGGTCCAGCCCGGTACACACCGCGCACGTTTCGTGGCCCCACGGGGAGCTCCGCCGAAGGCCCCAGCCGCAGGCTCCGCTGGCGTCCCCCCGCCCACTTCGGCACACCCCCCACGAGGTGGCCGGTGCTTGCGCGACAAGCTTACGGACATTGTGCTATAACATCAGATCTTCCATATTTACGCGTTCCCTGTCTTATCACTCGTACTTCTTCTTAATCACTACGTGCATCTTGTTCTAGATTCTGTATTGGACAACACGCGCATTTTTACAGTTTTCTCAGGTATCCATATCTAGCACATTATCGTGAAGTTTGCAATGATCGTGTGGGAGAGGATCCTTACCAGTGGAATTCCATCTTTCGCGAGTCTGCCACGCAGCCGTCCAGCACTACAAGCTGCTGTTGCCACTGCTACCGCGTATGAGTGCGTTGCGTTGTGCTGCTTCGTCCTGGGGATAAACGTTGTACAAGAGCACACGGTGGACACAATGGCTGACATGATTGCACGCACGATTACAGACCGCATGATATTTGCGATTTCGATCTTTGAGAAGTTTGCCCTCTTTCAGAACCTGCAGACGTGCCTCGCAATTTCTCTGTCGTGGATTTTTCCCGTAAGCCAGAAGCACTACCGCAGACAACGCGTTCTTATCCCGCTCAGTACGTACATGTCGCACATACGTGGTCTACTCTGCATGATCATGTTCAATAAGCGCGCGCACGTGGGCATCCTCACACGAACGCTCCCATCATACGTACAACAATGTATTTTGGGCCACGGGGATTATTCTAACAAGCTGGGATGCCGTTTGTTTTGTTTTCAACTCTGGGGTATTTTGCGCACGTATGTTCCCGAAGATGATGGCAGAGGGTGCAATTACATCAATTTTTCCCAACTGCACCAGACATGGCAAACGGGGGAAACCAAGATAGCCAGGAGTTACAAAAACACAACAGCAGGCATGCATTGTGGGGTTTGTGCACGGTTCGTTGAACATAGGTGTGCAGCTTGCCGGCCAGACCACCAACTTGCTTGTCAAAGACGGTACAGATATTGGCGTTCTTTCCCGCTGGAGAGCCTGTATTTCGTAATTGTTGACGTGGGTGTTCACAACCCAGGCGTGCTATCCAAGGAACAGTACATCATCCACAAGCTACGTGCACCGACGCAGGTTTCGAAGGTTCGTTCTTCCCCCGCGCATCGTGCACCACACGCTCGTTGCATGTCTGGCACACGTCGTCGTAGACCATTCCCTGACTCCCGCAAGAAACAGGATCAGGAACCCTATGTAGAGAAGCGCGTCGCCAACAACATCAACAATTTCCACATGAAGTTTCTGAATGGCACGGGGGCGCAACCCATTGGTAGGGACGATTTGGAATACTGGCAACGGTCATCTTTCAAACACTTGTATCGTATGTTCCTTCTCGCTGGCTCGCTCTCCCCTATCTACATGTACGAGTACCCGTTCCTTCTAGCTAAATGGATTGGTGGGAAAGGTGGTAAGTTGTTCGTTGAACTCCTGAGCAAATTTATGGATTTCCGCATCTACGTGTTCGTGCTATGGAGACTGTCCAGATGCTTGTTGTATGGTATTTATCGCGTCCGGCCCACCCGTCGGCTTCTATGGTGGATACGTGCTCTGCAGATCACGAACCACAGGGTGTTCCGCATCAGTGTCTACAGAGTTCGCGGTGGGCCGACTGTGCGCGGCGTGAAGAACGCCTTGCGCAGATATCTCGCGGACAAGCCAGATGATTTTGCGAATTTTATCATGTCCCGAACGTATGTGTACAACGTATCGCCACCCACTTTCGCATCGAAGTACACATCTTACAGGAAGGCAGCGAAGCAGTTCGATCTTGACATGGTGTCCGACATGCATGCTGAGTATGTATCACATCTACGACATAGGCGTGACTGTCGTTTTGTGCAGCAGAATTGGAACGTAACTGTACACATGTCACAACATGACCTACGCGCGCACATGTACACGCAGTTCTCCGGATGGTTGGCACATTGGTGGTTCCCTGTGGGAGATGCGTACGACTCCGTGGTTTTATCGTCCGCATGTGCACCCAGTCCTTGGTATGCATCCGTACCCCCTGCGTACACATGTTATACAAGCTCGTTCTATTTTGGTCCTCGGTATGTTGCGTGTGTAGTTGACCACGACACGAACGCGCGCATGGTACGGTCAACCGACGGGTATTTTGTACAACTGCATGGCGCATTTCTCTGCGATCCCCGACATTGGAAGTACCATCACGGACAGGACAGAGAACCTTTTCTTCGCCGTGTGAAACAGTTGCACGATGAGTGTGTCCCCCGAGGATGGCAACTCAGTAAGCATACGACATGGCGCTTTGAGTGGTTAGGGTACGTGTACGTGAATCCAAAACGTTCTTGTTACGGTGGCGACGCTGGAAATGGAGCGTTTTCTTGCACGCGTGACCACCAACACGACCGACAAGTCGCTGCAAAACCAGGGTGCCCCCTGAAGAAGAAATCCCGATTGGCCGCCAAAGCCTTGCGTACTTTACAAAAATCGCAACGTGGTTATTCTTGGACTCTGTGGGGCATGCGTGACATTTGCCAGGTTGCCAACCAACGTTTTCGTGATCTACTGCCGTCTTCTGTACATGATGTGTGCGAGAACTGTGGAGCAGTGAAGCCAAGCGTGGTATCTGGGCGATGGGATGTGAATTCTTTCTTCCCCAATGCGGATCGAGCTGAGACCGTGCAGGCTGTTGAGGATCTGTGCAGCAGGGTGTCGCTGTGCACAGGGAAGTCAACAGCTACGATCCCCAAGAAAGGGGTGCGGAAACCATATCTTGGCGGGAACCTGACGTATCACGCTGCAGATCACGATGTTGTGTCCTTCGACCAGATCATTGGCATGGCGAAGTTCGAAGTGCACAACAGCTTCTACCGTCTAGGGACATACGTATTAGAGAGCGTATCTGGACTACCCACTGGTGGCTGTATGTCTGAACCAATGGCAGCAGTTCTCCTAGGATCCAGAGTGCACCGGCTCCATAGTGATCGTGATTTCCGTCGGTGGTGCGGGTTGGACATACTAGGGTACGACGTTAACAACATTCTGTCCGTAATCCTACATGTAGACGACATGGCGGTATGTTCCAAATGCTTGTGTCTTGGGTGCCTGGGGAGATCTTTGGAGAGAGCCATGCCTGATTCACTTGGGATATCTCGGGAAGAATTGGGGCCGCATTTCCGGATGTTGGACACAAATTGGGATGCGCATGATACACACATTGCCATATCGTACCACACTAAGAACAAAGAGTTCGCCATGGGTATTAGTAGTCGCCAAAGTGTAACTCGGATTTTACCTTGGTGGAAGAATAGCATCACACCAAATATGGATCTGTACACATATGCACAAGGTCGCATATCTCGTGTACAACATGTGTCCACAGATACAGGTCAAGAAGTGCAGGCGTATTGGGAGATGTGTGCGGAGTTCGTGCTCTTGGGGTACCCATTGCGTGTCGTCTACAATGCGCTCGCCCGTGTTTTTCCTGTGCGACAGACACCAGCACTTGTATTCATCCGGGATTTTCTGCGGAATGTGCAGAAAGAGATACGTGACTGACGCCTGATATTCATGAATCATTATTTTTATTTTTAGTTTCGTTTCGAACGAGGAGCTTGCCGACAGCTTCATCGTCGTTATGTTTGTTTTCGTGTTCCACATTTCTCCCCATACTCTGTTTCCCCATCGCGTATTGGCTCTGCATATGCGACAGCACATCCTGTTTTTCACTGGGCCAGGAACGAGACCCCGATTGTTCAGCCATGTCGTGGCCGCAGGGACAGAATTCGTGGCAGAATTCGTGGCAGAACGGCTGGGGCAACGGCACCCAGTACCAACAACAGGCCCGTCTCCACTGGTCTGGCCTGACGACGGAAGAGCTCTGGGCAGCCGGAGAGGCCAAGAATAACCAGGATATGGAGCAGACAGTGAGCAGGTGCATGTCCAAGCTCGTCCCGCAGCTCATGGAGAAAATGAACAGCAGCAGCGCTGCCGGGCCGGCTGGCAGCAGCGCCCCCCGCGGCGACTCGGGCGTTTTCACTGCGCCGACGCCGCTGCGCAACGAGGTGGACCCCGCCCTCGTAGACGCCGTGGCGGAGAGGCTCAGCAAGAGGAAGTCTGGGGCACTACCTGCGGCGCAGGCCCCAGCGCTGAAGCGCACGAAAGGCTCAGACGTCCGCGTGCCCAAGAAGACGACTGACACGGTGCACCCGGTCATCTTGCTGCACTGGCAGGCGAGTCTGGGCTGCGCCAGGCTGCCCAAGGCGAGCACCACGGACTCCGTCGTGACAGCGGTCCTCCCGGACGGCGCGGCCGTCGCCAGGGCCGCTGAGAGCTTGAAGGCTAACGCGGCCCACCCGCTGGTGAAGCAGCTGGGCAAGAAGCCGCAGAAGGAAAACAAGCTCAGGGTCGCACTCATGCTCTGGGCCGAGGATGCCGTCGAGGCGCGCGGCAACGACGATGACGAGGACGCCGACAATGAGTAGGGACAGCGCGGTGGCGTCCTATCACAGATCGGAATCATCACTCGCAGATTGGATATTTGTTCTTTGTGCTGTGCTGTTTTGTACGCTGTATACTGTGTGGGAGCGATTGCGTGGGAGCCAGCTTGGAATGCCGCGTCGGAGAGCAGCGTCCTCGCGCTGCTCACGGGCGGTGCCTTGGGGACTGATGCACGCCTGAACGCCTTCGACGTGGCTGTGGTTCTCGCGTTTGCCTACTGCACCCGCTGGCAGACTCCGTGGGCTGGGGCTGCCGGCTTGGCAACAGCGGCAACGATGTACTTGTCTCCATCGATGCCATTCTGGTTTCGCGCTCTGCTCTTCGGGCCGGGAGCTGAGAACCCGAGTCAGCACGCCATGCAGTTTCAGCCGTGCATGCACAGTGCGCCTGGGCCACAGCCAGGCTTCGCGCAGCACGCCCCTTGGGTGCAGCAGGGGTGCCCGGTGCATGCGCGGCAGCAGAACCCGTACGCCACCATGCAGTGGCAGCCGCCGGGCTATGCTGCAGGCTTCCGAGATGATTTACACGGCCGCTATCCGCGTCAGTGGCCGGGACAATGGAAATGGGAGCGATTCTGAGACCGATCTGCGTTCGTGAGGCCGTCACCGTAGGATGACGCAACAGCATTGCAGGTGTGTGAGTTTTCATGAATTCACGTTGCATCACGTTGTTATTCCCTGCTCTGCTTTCCCCCCCCCTCGCCCCCTCTTGACTAGACGGAGACATGGCATCCCTTTGGAGAGGCTTCGGGGTGAATGAAGCCAGCCAGACCTTCTCCGGGAAGGAATGTGTGTGCAGTTTGCTCTTTCTCTCCCTGCCTTTCCCTCCTTTCGCCTCCCTCTCCCCTTCCTTTTCCCCCCTCCCTGACCCAATCCCTAGCCGGAGGGATGGCGCTTCTGTTGAGAGGGCTCAGGGCGTCATGAGCTGAGCAGGCTGTTTCATATATTGCTTTGTTGACACAGGTCCCACCAATCTTCTCTCGTGTGCGAGCGGTCTGACAGCATTCCACAGAGAAGGCTTCCGGGCGAACGAAGCCTGTTTCTCTCATGGCGGAGGCTTCTGGGAGAGCGAGGCCATTCTGCCATCAGCGCGTGCATCTTCACATGGATTTGCCTTTTCCCAGCCCTCTCCTCTCGCTTCTCTTCCCTGCTCTCTGCTTCCCCGCCTCTTCCCCCCATCCATGGGTAGAGCCGGTCAGACGGCGCTCGACAATGAGATTGGCCGACGTTCGCAGACAGGCTGAATGCATATGTGCATTTGCCACACTTTGTGTCCCATCTCGCTTCTTTCGCTCTCGCTCTCTTTCTTTTCTCATCTATCGTGCCCGTCGGCATTTCAGAGCTCAGTTGGTTTAGACCGCGGCGCTTAAGGCGTACCAGACACGTCGCACACATGTGGGCTGATTGAGCACAGCGCAGGAAAAGACGGAAAGGACCCCCACGAGGGCCCGGGCCCCGGATCAAGCAGTGGCGAAGCGTCTTGGCTCGCCGATAGCCCTACCAAACAATGTTGTGAGAACCTTTTGTGGTTCCACGAAATGTTCTTAGACAAATTCTGGCTGGGACTGTCTCGTTTCAACACCTCGGGTTTATGTTCGAAGAACCTTGGTTTTTACTCTTAGAACAGATCCGGGCTCTAAAAACATGTCGTGGCATGACTCTAGGAATGCCGGGACGGTCGGTCCATGCTCAGCCATAGGCAGCTCCACCGGAGGCCCCAGTGGCAGGCTCCGCATGCGTCCCCCCCCCCGCCCACTTCGGCACACCCCTCGCGAGGGTCGCGGCCCCCGCCGAAGGCGGTTCCCACGACGCGGTCATCACCACTGCAGATGGTGGTGGGGCCCTTCGCGGGTCCGCTGCGCTGCCGAGGCCTTCCTGCTCGACTCGGTTCGATTCGACGCCGACTCGCCGAGTCTCTTCGGAGGGCACCGACTATACACCAACACCGATCCTGGCCCAGGATCACCCTGGGCCCAGGATCGATGTATATGCCTTCTTGCGCAAGGCAGGAGGGCGTATACACCGATCCTGGGCCCAGGGTGATCCTGGGCCAGGATCGGTGTTTGTGTATAGTTGGTGCCTTTCCTATCTCTGTTGCGGCCCGATGCCTGGCAGACGGCGCCGTCGTGCCACCTGCGCGGGGCCGTTCCGATTCGGTGGCTCGACTCCGTGCCCGTGTGCGGCCCTGGCCGGCGTACGCTCCGATCCGATCCGGTTGCCCTGGGTCCGGTGCCTTCTGGTGTTTGCTGGGCTTCGGCTGTGTTTGGCTTTTCGTCTTGGCAGGGAGGTGCAGGTCAAACGACGCGAAGATCGGGACAAAATATGATCGGGATAGTTCGAAATCTCTGAGAATCGGCGGGTTTGGAGGATGTATTGGGCGCCGCGGCCGCTCCAGAGCGTTCCGGAACGCTCTGAGAGCGCTCCGGAACGCTCTGGAGCGATTTATCCCGATCCTAGCCCTGTTTCAACAGGAAAACAGGTCGGGCAAAACGAACACAAAACGGGAGGCAACGTTTAGGTCCAGCCCATCTGATTGGTCCTGCCAGGAGCCGGAGGACGTCGGTGCCCGAGGAGCTGTCGCCGTTGCACGATAGCGAGGGGCGTGCGTTCGGACCCAAAGTCCACGGGCGACGTACTCACATCCGCGCCCTCGCGGTCTTGGATCCAGGGCGCGATCCCATGGATGCGCGGTCGCATGGGTGCGCGCCGCGCGGGGCATCCGCGACAAAACGCCCATTGTCCATGGGGTTCCGGCCCGGGGTCCGGGCCTGGGAGGCCGTGGATAGGGACACGTCTCCCCTCGGCGAGGAGTGTCGAAGACGCCGTCCGACCTGCACTCGGATTATGGACCGCGTGTGACTCACAGGACCTCGGCGATCGATCACTTCGCCGACGTCGTGGAGTATGCGCAGCGCATCTCCATTGGCGAGGATGCCTTCGCGGTCAGCATGGATGTGCCCTTCGCCCGTACGGCAGAGGCACTGTGGAGGTGGCTGGATGGCCTCGAGGAGCCACCCCGCACGGGGTGCCTCGCTCGCCTCGTCACGGGGAGGGCCTTCGAGGTGGTAGTCAACCTCGTCATCTTTCTCAATTGCGCATTCATGGTATACCCTGATGGGCAAATTTTCCACCACCAGTGCCATAGGTGGGACGGGGGAGAAGGGAGGATGGGCAGGTCGTCGTCGTCCTCCTCCTCCTCCTCCTCCTCTTCCTCCTCCTCCTCCTCCTCCTCCTCCTGCTCCTCCTCCCTCGCTCCTCCTGCTCCTCCTCCTGCTCCTCCTCCTGCTCCTCCTCCTCCTGCTCCTCCTGCTCCTCCTGCTCCTCTCCTCCTCCCTCCTCCTCATCCTCCTCCTCCTCCTCCTCCTCCTCCTCCTCCTCCTCCTCTCCTCCTCCTCATTGCTCTCCTACCCCTGGTGGTGGTGGTGGAAATCAGCCCCTCGCACCCGAGGAAGACAAAGCGGCATGCACAGAGAGACTGCCCGAGGCCCGCACCGACTTCTCGCCTCGCCGCCGCCTCCCCCCTCGGCGGCGCCTGCCGGCGCCGCCCCCCCCCCCCCCGTGGCGGCGCGCGCTCCGCGCGCCAGGGGGAGGCTGCTGTGGGGCCCAGCGTCGGTTCAGTGCATAAGTTCGTGCGGGGCTCCGGCGGTTCGTCGCGATTCCGGAGGGACAAAAAACACACAGACACAATTCATCGTCGATCCCCCAGGAAGACATGGGAAAACACGGGCAGTGGGGGGGGAAGACGAAAACCCCGAAGATATGGGAACATGTGGGGAATCCTTTTATTTGTGTGTACCTATTTGTGTGTCCTGGGGCCCCTTCAGTAAGTTCGCGCGGGGCTCCGGCGGTCCGTCGTGATGCCGTTGTGGCTTCTCGCGCGTACGCCGCCAACGAGCAGATACGGAGCCCGAGCGAGGAGGCCGCGTCGGTGCTGGTGGGCGACTGGCTCTTTCTGGGATTCTACGCGGCCGAGATGGTCCTGAAACTGGTGGCTTGGCATCGCTCGGACGTGTGCATTTTTTCCTTCGGCGAGGACCATCGAGGAGCATCCTCGATCATTTGGCCCCAAAAAAACACACGCACGAAACCGAACAAAACACAGGGAATGGACGTCCGAGCGATGGCGAGGTGGTGCATGGGCACTGGCTGTTCTGCAACGCGTCCTGGAGGGTGAACATCTACAAGGGGCTTGCGTCGTTCCGCCCGATCGCGACGAGCGCGACGAGCGCGACGATCGCGGAGCCCAGCCTGATCTTCGCGGGCCTGGATACACGAGTCCGTACAGTCTTGCCCCTGAAGAAGGAACCCTTCTCGTTGGGGAGGGGCTCGGTGTGCCTTGATTGTTTTTTGAAGTTCGAAGTTCAACCTATTGAGGCCTCGTTCCTTTTTTGGGTTCCTTAGAACAGCGGCCTGACTGTAATGCGGACCTCTGCGGACTGTCGGAGGGATCTTGGGACGATCAGCGCTGGGAGGGGTGCTCTGGGGAGGTACGGCGACGGACGAGGCCCACCAGAATGAGAGGGAAGATATCCACTCGTGAGGCCTTCTAGATTTCAGAGCTTCTGGGAGACCTTTCGAGGTCGTCTGGAGGCTCCTTTGGGGCCAGCTGGGGGCATCTTGGGGCGTTCTTTGGGCGCCCGCTGGCGGTCTCGGGGGCCCTCTTTTGGCGGAGGGCTCGACGTGCACTTTTGAGCCATCCCTCTTGCACCCATCTTGGGACCCTGTGTCGCAGAAGGCAAAACAAAAAGGTAACACGACACAAGCATGAACTATTTGCGCTCCGCGCGGACTTCATGGATCGGCGCCCGGGCCCCCTAGCGGCGCCTCCAGAATCGCCCCTGGCGAGCTGGGAGGGGGTCCAGCTCAGATCCAAGAAATCTATGCGGACCACCAAAAGTCTATGTTTATGCGGCTTTTTCTTATTTTAGTTTCGAGTCATCCCTCTTACACCTGTCTTGGGACCCTGTTGCTCTTCGACCGTCTTGGACGCCTCCTGGGCCGTCTTGGGGCTTGGCCGTCTTGAGGACGTCTCTGGTGCTTTGTGGACCGCTCGGCAGCGATCTTGCAAGCCTCTTACGCCGTCGAGGTTGTCGTTGAGACCATGAAGCGAAGTACACCAAGGACAGAACTGGTGGCAAGGACTTGGGAGGAGTTCTGCCTCCTGGAACCCTCTTGGGGGTCCTCTCGAAGCCCTCCTGGCCTCCTTGGGGGCCGTCTTGAGGCCGCCTGGCGTGTTCTCGAGGGCCCCTCGGCGTGCCGGGGCCCCTCTTGAGGCAGCGTGCACGGCAGGCTGCGTCGACTACGCGTAAGAGTGACCCTTCGCCGGAGTGACCTCTGGTGCGGGCTCCGCGGGCTCCCCCCGATCGCCGAGCGCGATGCGATCAATGAGCGGCCCGCGCCCTCGGGTTGGGCTCCCTCGCGCCCCCCAGAAGCTGCGCACCAGAGGTCACTCTTGCCCAGGGTCACTCTTACGTCTACGGGGCCGGACGGAAGCGGGGGATTGGGAAAGGGGGAGGTTCGAAATCTGCTGCATGCAGCTGGCTTCGGCCCCACCGAGGGGCCCTTTTCCCCGAGGCATGGCAGCCTCCGGCGCCGGGAGGCGCCGGGAAAGTCAGCTACGTGAGCTGCACCTCAAACCCCCCCGTTGCCATCCCCCCCTTTCGCCCGGCCCGAGTCTAGCCGACCGTGCAGCTTTGATCTCGGATGCCACGCAGTGCACGGCAGGTTCGCGTCGTGTCGACCGGCGGCGGCCCCGCCGTGGGCGCTCAAGGCCGAACGCGCCAGCGGCCCAGAAGCGGGCAGTCGACTAGGGCAGTCTCGAGCATCGGAAACGGCAATCCCCACATGGAACGATCGGGCAATCGAGAAAAGCCGCCGACCACTCGAGGTTGAACGATCCGTGCGGTGTCAGAAAAACCGACGCCAGGGCCGTCACGACACGCACCTGCCCGTATAGACTTGGAGGATCCGGAGGCCCCAGAGGTGCGCTGACGAGATTTGCCCCCGCCCCCCCCCCCCACACCCACCCACCCCCCCGCTCTCCTCTCTTACATTGGAGACCCATGCCCAGAAGCACCCTGCTTGCCTCCAGGGTGCCCTGGGTTTCTTGGGTTTCGAGGGTTCTGCGACGAGTGTGGACCGGCCTCCACTGCAGATTTGGGAGGGTCCGGAGGCCCCCGAGGTGTGTTGACGAGATCTGCCGCCCCCCCGCCACCCCCCTCTTGTGCGATGCTGCGCCCCGGGGGAGGGGGGAAGAGAGGGGGACGGCCAATCATCTTAAACGTCCTGGCAGCCCCGACAAGCAGGGGCGGGCGGGTTTGACATGGCCTTGGTGGTCATTGGCCTAGTCAACTTGGTCGTTGGAGCGCGCTCTGGGAATTTTGTCAGAGTGTTGCGTTTACTGAAATTCGGGAGGGCGATTCGTGCTATCAGGGTTATGTCTCACATGAAGCACCTGCGGGCTCTCATCGTTTGTCTCCAGGGCTCGATATCGAGTCTCTTCTGGAGCCTGGTGATGCTCTTCGCGGTCTACGCCGTCTTCGCTCTCTTCCTGATTCAGGTTATCACGTCTCATCTTCAGGACACAGGTGAGGCTCTGGAAGAGACTGCTTTCTACGACTTCTTCCCGTCGTTCGAAGCATCTGTCTTAACGTTATACAGGGCATCAACTGGCGGTGATGACTGGAGTGTTGCCTACCAGGTTATCGAACCGACGGGCGAGATTGGGAGTGCGATTTACTTGTTGTTTATTGCGTTTGTGCACTTTGCTTTGATCAACATTATATGTAAGGCTTCGCCCTCGGCTCCTGCGCCCTTGATTGGCGGCATGGCTTGGGGATTGGTTGGTTTGTTTGGTTGTTTGCCTTCTTAGCTAATTTGCTTTCAGGCTATTATTTCGGCTGGTTGGGTGGTTTTTTGAGCTGAGAATAGCGGTCGTACAACCTATGCTCTTGCAAGCATCCCACCCACCCACCCGCAACTTGGTTTGCAAAACCCACGCGGTGGTGATTGCGGTGCATGCTTGGCGTTGGCTGGTGCATCTCTGCGGCGCCGACGACGACGACGAAGACGACGACGACGTCGCCAACGAAGACGACGACGAGGCAGGAGGGAGGACGACGACGGCGACAACGACGACAACGACGACAATGACTAGGGAGGAGGGAGAACGGCGACGACGCGAACGACGAAGAAGGAGGAAGGACGGCGACGCCTACGACGACAACGACGAGGGAGGAGGGAAGACGACGACGACAACGACGACGACGACGACGACGGCGACGAAATAAGAGGGACGACGACGAGACGCCGACGACGGTCGACGACGACGACGACGAGGGAGGAGGAGGAAGGGCGACCACGGCGAGAACGACGACGGAAACGACCACGACGCCAAAGAGGACGACGACGACGTACACGGGGAAAGACAGAGGACGACGTAGGCGACGACGACGACGACGCGGGAGGAGGGAGGACGACGACGACGACGACGACGACGCAGGAGCGCGCGCGCGCACGCTTTTGTTGAACATGCGTGGTGCGAAACCTTTGTGTTTTTGTAGGTTTTTTGGGCACACGGTTTTGAAACCCTTCCGAAACCCATGGGTTTTGAAGGATTTCGGCATACGCGCGCGACGACGCGCGCGTCTGCACTTCGTCCCGTTTTTTGCAGAGGATTCTCGCGACGGCACACGCGCAAGGGCGTTCGACAGATTTCGACATGCGCGTTTGCGCGAAGCCCGTTTGGTAGAATCCCATGACAATCTTGAAAACCTATTGTTTTCTTTCGATTTCGCAAGAGCTCGCGCGTAAGTTTATTATATAGAAAAGCAGTGTTGCAAGACCATGTGGTGTTGTACGTTTCTTGGAAGCTCGTTTGCGAAATGTTTCCGACACCAGAGGTTTCTGGATGATTTGGGCATGCGCGCGCGGCGGCGCGCGCGTGTGCACTTCGTGTTTTTTTGGCAATGGATTTGTGAACAAGTTTTATGTTAGAATAAATGGTGTCCCCGAATATATTTTTTTCATTCGGGAACCTCAGAAGGGGGTAGATACCGCCCCCCCTGGGATAGTGCGAAGCCATATTCAGGGGACATGTGGTCATAATCATATATGACTTGCTTACCCGAAAGTTGAGCCGATAACGCCGGGGGAGGAGAGTCTATATCTTTTTTAGAAAGGAGAATACGTATTGTGTAACCTATTTGATCAAATCTTTGTTGTGCAATCTGTGTTGTGCCATCTACGTTGTTATATATATATATGTGTGTGTGGTGTAACACATGTTGTGCAATAGTCGTGGTGCAATCGATGTTGTGCAACCTATGTGGGGCATTCAACGTGGTGCAATGAATGTGGTGCAGTTTGTTTGGTGCAATACATATTGTATTACCTGCGCGGCGCAATTCGCTTCGACTTCCTCGCGCGTGACCACCTCCCATGCTCGCTCAAGCATCCCACCCACCCACCCACAATTTGGTTTGCGAAACCCGTGCGGTGGCGATTGCGACGGTTGGTGCATCTCTGCGGCCGGCCTGCCCAAGCATGCTGTCGCGCGCGGCGGCCAGCAAGTCTGGCGCGGCCGGCACGGCCACGATGGCGTTGACCGCTGGGAACTTCCCAGCGCGTCTCACAGGCCCCGATGACGCGCGGGCACATCAGTGCAAGTCGTTGAGTCGGTCTGGCTCCGTATCGTGGCGTCGTCGACACCGGCAGATTCGATGATAGTGGCGACAATGGTGACGATGACGACGACAATGACGTCGGCAAGGGCGATGACGGCGCCAATGTTCACCACGCCGATGCCGATGATGGTGTCTTCGCGTCGGCGATGAAGGTTTTGAAAGGAATTCGACATTCGCGCTCGGCCAGCGCGCGCGACCTGCCCGCATGGTGTTGTTTGAATGGGGTTGTGCCCCCACACCACGCGCGCAAGGACCTCCGAATGATTTCGACATGCGCGTGAGGGGGACGATTGGTAGCATGTGATGTACATATTGGAGACGAGCACTTGGTTGTTTTGTTTCGGAATCGCCAGAGCACCCGCGCCGTTTTTTGTGAGAATCCCGGTTGCGAGACCATTGTTTGTTGAATGTATTCGTGTCACTCATTTTCGAAATCATCGCGAAATTGGGCAAACCCCCAGTACAGTCAGGGGGCGCCCGAATCGCCGACGAGATTCGGGCGTTGCGTAGTGAGAGGTCGATGAAAAAAGGGTGAAGAGGGGTGCACCTCTTGTTGACTAAAGGGGTACGACAGGAAGGATCACCGCTCCCCCCCCTCATTTATCGCCCCCCACTATGCAGACCCCAGAATGGCGACGGCGCCCGCCACGCGTACACCAAGCAGATGCACCCAGTTACGTTGAACATGCATGAGAACCGTGTGGTGCAAACGTTGTTTGGAAAATTGCGCAGGTAAGCCGCTGAAGTCTAACCTTGCCAGCCTGGTGTCCCTCATCGCAGAGGTGGCCCGCGGGTAACTGGGATTTTCGTGGAGTCGGCCATGAAGACCCTCTCGCCCGACTCGGAAACACTCGCATACGAGCATTCCCTCCAAGAGCAGGAGAACGCCAAGAAGCTCAAGCAGCTCTGCGATGCTGTCGACACCGATCGTACTGGGATGCTGACGCGGGAGAAGTTCGAGGACGGCCTTCGGAGAAAGCACATACCACTGTTGCTCAAAATGCTTGGGCTCCAGCGCCATCACGTCCACGAGTTTTTCAACTACATGGCCGAGGGCGCAGGTGAGGACGGACAAGTGAAAATTACTAAGTTTGTTCAAGGTTGCATGTTGTTGAAAGGGGCTGCTACCAACTTTGATTTGCAAAAGCTGCACGCGGATTTCAAAGCTATGCAGGCCAGGCACGACCAAGACAAGAACGAGATTCTGTGCCTATTGCGCCATAGGCTTGAGGCGTGATTCGCATTGCCTTCGATCCGTCCTTTTCTAGCCAGTAGGCGAAAAAAGTGTTTCCGGCCATTTTCTCCGCTCTACCCTGCTGTTCGTTCCAGCATTCACATCACCGCACTTACCACTCGCCGAACGTCGCCTCCTCCCCTTGCTCTTGCGAGCGTGGCAAGCATGATGCCCAGGATACCTTCGCGGGTTTTCCGCACATGTTCCACCATGTACCCTCCATGCCAATGCTAACACCGCCTCTGCTTGCACTCAATCAGTTGCGCATGCGGCGCCTATCCAACGACATATGCCTCCAGCGGTGACCACCTGCTTCGTCCAGGGACGCGCACCATCGGCTTCCGATTTTCAGCCGGATTGCCACATCGAGCCTGAGCTTGGCGTCACTCCTCCTGTCTGCTACTGCTGCTTGTTTGAATGCTTGCTATTGGAACCACCGCTGCACTTGCTGCCTACACACTTCGCGACGAGATTGTGCATGCGGACCCCGTTCATTCCTGCAGGACATATGCGCGCGCAGTGCGTCAAACGTGGGCACGTCGGGTATACACATCAGAGCGCTTTCGAAAGACACCTGAGGAGTTGGGTTGTTGCGTGGGGCGGGGGAGCCCCGACCCCCCTCCTAAATACCATGCGTCGGGGGTGGGCTGAACCCCCACCCTGACACGTCGATTAGTGAATTGTCCGCTTTCGAGTCTCGAGAGGGCGCCGCGGCCGTCATTTCTAGGCTTGCGCCCGCCAGGCTTGGGCCCGAGGTCGTTTTCACTAAGCCACGTTTTATGAAAGGGGGTTCTGCCCATCCTCGCATGCGGCCCCAAGCCCCCCCCCCTCCCAGAAGCGGTGTGAGGGGGGGGCTGGAGCCCATCGCCCCCTCGGCCTCGAAAGGGAGGGGGGAGGGACCTCGACCCTCCAGTCATCCCCGGCGCCGCCAACCAATGAGGAGCAGGACGACGACGACGACGACCCGTCGTCGTCGCCGTCGTCGTTGATCTGTCGCTTCTTTGTTTCCCTGGCCTCGTCCTATCCGCTCTGGGGGTAAGGTCTGCACTCGATGCCCCGCCCGCCCGCCCGCCCGACTCAGGGTGCCCACCGCCGTTCGGGGACCTCGCGCCCGGCGGGCGGGCGGCGCATTGCATGCAAGCCTCGCCCCTGGAGCGGACGACGAGCCAACGACGATGGCGACGACGACCGCTGTTCTGTTTGCCCCTCGTCGTCGTCGTTGTCGTCGCCGGCGACCTTGATAGTCTTCGTCGTTGGGAGTTGCGTCGGCGTGGTCGTCGCTGGGCTTGTCGTCGTCGCCGTCGTCGTCGCCGTCGTCGTCGGCGGCCTCGTCGTCGTCGTCGCTGGGGGTGGCTTAAACCCCTCCTCCCGCCCTGATTTACAGAGGGAGGGGACTCGTAGGGGGGGCGTTTTTCGCTCCAGAAGGGGGGCCGAGGGGGGGTCCCGGCTCCGGAGGTAGAACCTGCGGGACGGAGGGGGAGAGGGTGGAGGGTTCGGGTTCCGTGGGAGGTCGGGGGAGATTTTCAAGAGGAGAGGGGGTCGCGGCAGGGTTGGGACCCGGTTCAGGAGGAGAGGGGAGGGAGATGTTCCGCAGTACCGCGCCCACAGAAGAAGAGCTCTCTCGGGCGCAGGCGCGCCCAGAGCGAGCGGCGAGCGGAGAGGAAGGCATACAGTCGGGGCCCTGCAAGAAGGAACCCTTTTCGTTGGGGAGGGGCTCCGTGTTCCTTAGGTTTTCGATGGGTAATCGAAGTTTAACTTATGGAAAAAAGGGGCCTCGTTCCTTATTCAGGGTTCCTTAGGTCAGCGCCCCGACTGTAGATGGGGGGTGTTGGTGGAAGAGGGAAGAGGCATGGGGTGGGAGCCAGAGGAGCAAGGAAGCTCCCTTTGCCGCTGGCCCCCGCCCTCGGGGAAGGGCTCGTGGGCGCCAGGCGCCGAGCCCGGCCTCTGGGACTGGCCATGCGGCGCGGCGGACTGGCGGGGGCCATTGGTGCGCGCGCCGATCCCTCTGCCGCTCATGTTGCACGACACGGCGTGCGCCACACATGCTGCACCACATACCGAGACACGCTGGCGTGGGGGGAAAAGAGAAAAACGGGGGCAAGCTTCTGGTCATGTTCGGCCTCGGGGGGCCCTCGCCAGGCCCGGGCGCCGTCAAACAGGGCCATCCTGGGCAGCGTTGGGTTATTCAGGGCGTCGTTTTGGCACATAAGTAATCACCACTTCAGGTAGATATCGTACTTGCCTCACACGAGTACGTATTGGTAGAAAAAGATTTTGGTTTGCAACCTTAGCTTTGGAGCACACGGACGATCATCAGTCAGACTCGTGTATCCCAGCATTCCAGCATTGCAGGTTCTTCGGGCTAGAATGTTCCAGCTCTTCGACCGGGAAGCTTATTGGTTTCAGGTCGGCAAGAGTCGTGGCCAAGTGTCCAAGGTGTCCGAGTCGATTCAGCTTGGTTGTCCGTTTTCAATGCGTCTTCCAGCTGATCTTGCGCACCTCCCGCTCCGAATCGTTGGAGAGCTTGACAGAATGATTGAAGGAGTCGTGCACAACTCAGTGCGAGTGCCATCGGACATCTGCTAGGGCTTCCCCGTAGTTCAGCTCACCCCAGACGCGTTCGTGGTTTTCGTCCGTCGGCTCATGACCGTGTTGGCCCATGTCTCAAGGCCTGAGTTCGTCAAGTTTCTCTCGACAGCCGTTGCCGTTCCATGACTCTTGGGTACATGCCCGCCCAGCAGTTGGTCTCTCTTGACACTTCAATTTCGCAGACGTTGCTGCAAACGTTTGCATGATGACGTCATTCTTACCTCGTGCATTTGCTGCGCGACGAGCTCACTGCATCAGTCCAATCATATGCCCTCTCTTCCTTCACCTCCACCCTCACTCAAGATATAGATAACGCCCTCCTCCCCGCCTTGCTACTGTCAAGTGTGGACGACGCTTGTCCCGCGTACCGTCGCAGGATGTCAAACAGTGGTATTTTATGTTTCCGATCGGACCGAGTTCGCCATGTTCGTTTCAATATGTGTGTGTGTGTGTGTGTTTCGCCACCTGGATCGTTGTGTGTGTGTGTGTTTCGCCACCTGGATCGTATTCGGCAGTTCGTCTTCGGCCGTCCCGAAGGGCGCTCGCGTTCTGGCGCCTGCGGTCCTCCTGCCTCCCGCTGCCATTACTCTCCTGACCCTGCAAATGTGAGCATTCGGTAGCAAATCATGGGAACCTGGCATACCCTCTCAAGTCTGCCTTAAGCGTCGATGAGCCTCGATTAGCGTTTGGGAGTCGATGAGACAGCACCGATGTAGCGTGGGTCCGCGTCGACTGGCGTCGATCTGGCGTCGATTCAGCGCCGATGAGCGGCGACTAGCGTCGAGCAGCGTCGATGCGCAGGAGCCGATGAGATGGCATGGGAGGCTCCCCTGAGGTGCCACCGAAGGAGTACTACCCTCCCCTCTCCCGGCGGTCCTGGCGGTGCGGGCGGGGGCACAGCGGGTCGGCCTTGCGGGTGAAGGCCTCTCTTGGGCGGCCAGGCTTTGCCGCGGGGATCAGTTTCCCCAGTCCTCCTCTTTCGCCTGGCCCCCGGCTTCACCACGCTTCAAGAACACATTCAATGGTCAAGGTGTCATTCGACACTTGGATAAACGATTTAGGGAAGATGAAGCACACTGGAGCAGGACGGGATGCAGGGGAGGATGTTAGATGTGGCGAGAGCACGCCTATCTTGCCCTCCCCCCTCTCCCCCGTCTCGTTTGCCCTCCCCCCCCAGACCCCAGATGCTGTTGTGCCAGATGTGGACCGCCCAGGGCTGGCGTGTCATCTTGAGTCGTCAAGGGCCCGAAAAGGCTCCCAGAGGCAGAAGATGACCAGAACGGTTCGCCTCGCTGCTCTTCATGCGTGGCTCCTCTTTTTTTTGCGCCCTCGGTGCCGTCGTGCTGGCGTTCGTGGCGTACCTGGTCAAGTACCGCCCGGTCGAGACGGTGGATGCCATCTTCATGGGCGCCCTCTACGCGGCGGGCGCGCTCGACTGGGTCGCGGACAGACTCGGGACCGCACGGGGGGCGGTCGGACAGCGGACAGTTCGGGGGAACGCCCCGCTCGCCATGGGCACGGCCTGCGGGTCGGTGAAGCCGAAGTGGGTAGCACGAAGAGCACGGCGACGAAGATCGACCGTTTCCCCTGTCCATCTTGAGAGGACTCGATGTCGGCGTCGCCGCGGGCGCTGTCCGCTGGAGGCAAGAAGCCAGCTGCTCAACAGCGGCCGCTGCCGGTCTGGGACAGCATTTGCTGTTCGGCATCGCACCCTTGATGGGCGTGTTTTCCACCACCGCCACCATGAGTTGGAGGGGGGAAGGAGGTGCAGGACGAGGAGGAGGCGGACGAAGGGGAGAAGGAGGAGGTGGAGGAGGAGGAGGAGGAAGAGGAGGACCCCTTCCCCCTCCAACTTATGGTGGTGGTGGTGGAAAACAGGCCCATCAACCCTCTCTTCTGCACCCACCTCGGGCGTGCCAATACGGGGGATTTCTTGTTTCAGCCCCGGCGCTCTCTCTGCTCGTTCTCTGCTTCGGCCTCCCTCCGGGGCCGTGGTCCGGGCCCGCGAGGCAGGCAGAAGGCCCTCGCCTCTTTCGGGTATCGGCGGCGAGCGAGGGGGGGCAGCGAGAAGGAGGAGGCCTTCCCAGAAAGCGGCGGGTCTTCTCAGAAGCCCTCGCGGCCTTCTGAGAGGTTGTGTGTGCCTTCGGGGGCGGCTCAGGATTAGCTCGGGCCTGTCCCGCTACAGGAGGAATGTTAAACAATAGTAAAAAATATAGTCTGGGAACGAAATGTCGACTATGTTAGATCATTTTGGGGGTATGTTTGACTCTTTCCCAATCCTCCTTGGTTGGGCAATCGTTTTGAATAGAGCACTGCGGTCTCCAGTCCTCCTCCTCCTCCTCCTCCTCCTCCTCCTCCTCCTCCCGCCTCCCGTCTCCCGTCTCCCGCTTCCGTCTTGTCTCCTCTTGCCTTGCGCGTACCTCGTGTGTGTGTGTGTGCATCCTGGCTCCGGTACCTCTTGTGTATGCATCTTGCCAAGGGGCTGCGATCTGTGACACTGTCGCCACTTTCGAGGGCTGCTGGTGGATCCTGCGGAGTGAGGCACCGCGGGGACCTGAGCGAGACCTCGCCGTCCCTGGGGGGCTGCGATCTGCGACACTGTCGCCACTTTCGAGGGCTGCTGTTGGGTCCAGCGGAGTGAGGCACCGCGGGGACCTGAGCGAGACCTTGCTATCCCTGGGGGGGCTGCAATCTGTGACATTGTCGCCACTTTCGAGGGCTGCTGGTGGGTCCAGCGGAGTGAGGTACCGCGGGGACCTGAGCGAGACCTTGCCATCCCTGGGGAGCTCTGGAGAGCTGCTGCGGGATACGTTAGGCGCAACGGGCGCATGGCACAGCCAACGGTGGTGATTTGTGAAACAGACCATCTGCCGGGCGATGGCCATAACGTTGCGCCTACACGTATCCCGCGGGGGCTCTCGCTCTCAAGAGCTGCTGTGGGATACGTTGGGTGCAACGGACGCATGGCACAGCCAGCGGGGGTGATTTCTTATTACGTAACCCTTACATCATGGTCAGGGGCCTGCGAGCCTTCCGATTGCTGCTCGCAAAATCACATGCGTCCATGTTACGTCATCGCCCCCGTCGTAGCAAGCGTGATGTACTTATGCCCCGCATCGTGTAAGGGTTGGGTACGTCGCCAGGGCAATGCAATTTTTTCGTCCAGAATCCGCCTGTAGGAGGACATGCCCGACCTAAGCGTAGGACGCCTCTCAGAAGGCCGGGGGGTCTCCCAGCCTTCTGAGCTGGTCGTCTCCTTCTCACTTCCCCGGGGTCTCACCGTCGAGCATAAGGGATCGACTACAGAATCGATTCACCCCAGAATTGATTTTCTCGCCGAGTCTGCGAAACATGCGTATAATACTCGTAGACCTACGAGCATTCTATTTCAGTTTCAAGGGGCGACTCAATTCTGTACTCCATCCTCTACTCCCCTCTTGAGCCCTCTCACCGGGCCCATGGACCGTCGAAAAGCAACCCTGGATGGAAACTTGCTTTCCTTGATTCATTTTTTCGCCGGTCGGCGCGGGCCCCAGCCCACCCGCCCCCCCTCCCCTCTCGTAGACCAGTCTGATCGAGTCAATGCTCGGCCCGGAGTCGGGCTCGACTGTAGTAGACCTCGAGCATCATTATTGACGCTCGAGTGAAAAACGTACGGAATCGTTTCCGTACTGAAGAAAATCATTGTGCAATGGCGCCTTTGGCCGGCCTGATCCATAGAAATCGTGCGAACATCTGCGCCACGAATCGTCCCATCTGACAGCGGGTCGTCGACGCCCACGTCCAGATATTGTCAGGAGGGGGAAAAACACACAGACACAATGAATCCGTAAGGGCTTCGCCCCCTGCCGCCGGCCCCCTCTCTCGGAGAATGGGCCATGGAAGAGCTAAGTCATGAGGCCTTGGCGCTGTCGTGAAGCAGTATCGAAACTTCATGCGAAGCCGAGTCGCAATCAGCAAAACCAACTGATCACAAGAGGGGTTACCACACCTGGCGATTGGTAAGACGTGTATGGTTTAAGGGCTTGGTTACCACACCTTGCGATTAAAGGGCCGAGGGAGTTCTCGCAGTTTGGGTTACCACGCCTTGCGATGGATGTGCGTGATGGGTTCGAATTTCAGAAATGTGGCAAATCCCCTGTGTTTTTGGACCCTGACCCCGCGGATCTGCGTAAGGGGTGGCGCCGAATTTCAGAAATGTGGCAAATCCCTTGTGTTTTTGGACCCTGACCCCGCGGATCTGCGTGAGGGGTGGCACCGAATTTCAGAAATGTGGCAAATCCCTTGTGTTTTTGGACCCTGACCCCGCGGATCTGCGTGAGGGGTGGCACCGAATTTCAGAAATGTGGCAAATCCCATGTGTTTTTGGACCCTGACCCCGCGGATCTGCGTGAGGGGTGGCACCGAATTTCAGAAATGTGGCAAATCCCATGTGTTTTTGGACCCTGACCCCGCGGATCTGCGTGAGGGGTGGCACCGAATTTCAGAAATGTGGCAAATCCCATGTGTTTTTGGACCCTGACCCCGCGGATCTGCGTGAGGGGTGGCACCGAATTTCAGAAATGTGGCAAATCCCATGTGTTTTTGGACCCTGACCCCGCGGATCTGCGTGAGGGGTGGCACCGAATTTCAGAAATGTGGCAAATCCCATGTGTTTTTGGACCCTGACCCCGCGGATCTGCGTGAGGGGTGGCACCGAATTTCAGAAATGTGGCAAATCCCATGTGTTTTTGGACCCTGACCCCGCGGATCTGCGTGAGGGGTGTCGATTTCGAGCCCCCCCAGCAATTCAGACAACGCGCCCAGGGGAGGCTAAAAATCCTGTTTGGGCCTCCCCCCCCCCTCGCGCGGTCAATCAACTAGTTACAGTAACCAGCAAGAAGCAAACCTGTAACACTGAAAACTACAAGCTACAACTGGTACAGGAAACTGCGAATCACGGGCCTACAGCCTGGTGGCCCCACAAGGGGGCCGGCGGATCTTCGATCCACCAGCAAATATGGACAAATATGGGAGGTGGGGGGGAAGACAAAAACTTCAAGATATGGGAAACTATGGGGAACTCGGTTATTTGTGTGTATTTACTTGTGTGCCCCAGGGCTCCTTCATATTGGCTGCTCCTGGCGGCTCCTTTTGGCGACTGGTCGGGGCTCGCGCGACTGGGAAAGGAAGATCGACGGAGCACCGGGCCAGACCCAGCCCCCCCCCCCCCAACCCCCCCACTCTTCTCGTGACGCCCGGAATGTACGGAAAGAATGGGTACAATGCCCAACAGCAGTTCTTGTTCATTCTGACCAGGGCTCGCTGTCCACGCCGCCGCGGCCTGTGCCCATTTGGGACAGGAGGCAGCCTGCCCAACAGCGGCCGCTGTTGGTTCGGGACAACATTTGTTGTTGGGCATTGTACCCATCTTTTCCATACCTCCTTGGGGCGTCCAAATCTTCGGCCCAATGTTGACACTCAGATGAAACAATGCGCCGGCGTGGCCCTCGCGTCGCTGAGTTGAATAGAACACGACGGTGGGGCCTATTACTATTTTCTGACTCTTGGGGCCCTCGACCGAGGCCGGGGCTCGGACCCAGCCCCCCCCCCCCAAACCCCCCAACCTTCGGCCAAACGTCGAAACCCAGAATGAGAAAAAGGCCGCCTGCAAACGCCTGTCCCTTTGGGGCCTCCCGTGAGGTAAAAATCACGACGTCGGAGGTCTCGTTCTGCGCCGCGCATCCGTTTCTGGTCGTCTTGGGGCCCGCTACTGGGCCCCAGAGTCCGAAAGCGAGGAGAAGCGCGCCCAGATGGAACAACAAATTAGCCTGACGAAGGACCCAACCATGTGCAGTTGCGAGTACCGCATTGTGGGTACCGGTTTCGGTGGAGATCTCTATGTGGCCCACGAAGCGATGTCCTGGATGGCGTTGGCGCACGCGGCCTGTGCCACTGGAGCCTTCGGTGGAGCTCCCTATGAGGCCACGAAGCGCTGTCCTGGGTGGCGTCGACGCATGCGGCCTGTGCCACTAGAGCCTTCGGTGGAGCTCCCTATGGAGCTATGGAGCCACGAAGCGATGTCCTGGGTGGCGTTGACTCACGCGGCCTGTGCCACTGGAGCCTTCGGTGGAGTTCCCTGTGGGGCCACGAAGCGCTGTCCTGGGTGGCGTTGACGCACGCGGCATGTGCCACTGGAGCCTTCGGTAGAGTTCCCTGTGGAGCCCTGTCCTGGGTGGCGTTGACGCATGCGGCCTGTGCTGCTGGAGCCTTCGGTGGAGCTCCCTGTGGGGCCACGAAGCGCTGTCCTGGGTGGCATTGACGCATGCGGCCTGTGCCACTGGAGCCTTCGGTGGAGTTCCCTGTGGGGCCACGAAGCGCTGTCCTGGGTGGCGTTGACGCACGCGGCATGTGCCACTGGAGCCTTCGGTGGAGCTCCCTGTGGGGCCACGAATCGCTGTCCAGGGTGGCGTTGACGCACGCGGCCTGTGCCACTGGAGCCTTCGGTGGAGCTCCCTGTGGGCCACGAAGCGCTGTCCTGGGTGGCGTTGACGCATGCGGCCTGTGCCTCTGGAGCCTTCGGAGGAGCCGTGGGGCCACGAAACGCTGTCCACGGGTGGCGTTGACTCACGAGGCCTGTACCATGCTGGAGCCTTCGGTGGAGCTCCCTATGGAGCCACGAAGCGCTGTCCTGGGTGGCGTTGACGCATGCGGCCTGTGCCTCCCTGTTGGGGCCACGAAACATTGTCCTGGGTGGCGATGACGCATGCGGCCTGTGCCACTGGACTCTTCGGTGGAGCTCTCTATGGGGCCACGAAGAGCTGTCCTGGGTGGCGTTGACGCATGCGGCATGTGCCACTGGAGCCTTCGGTGGAGTTCCCTGTGGGGCCACGAAGCGCTGTCCTGGGTGGCGTTGACGCATGCGGCCTGTGCCACTGGAGCCTTCGGTGGAGTTCCCTGTGGGGCCACGAAGCGCTGTCCTGGGTGGGTGAAACGCAGGGAGGTGACGAGGCGGATGGGAGGAGTGAGGAAGGGGAGGAGGAGGAGAGGAGATGAGAGGAGAGGAGAGTGGGAGGAGAGAGGGAGGAGAGTAGAGGAGAGGAGAGGAGAGGAGACGCGTCCCTTCAAAACGAGGACCCAACACCACAGGATGCTTGGGAAGAACACATCCTCGATGATCTCGGCGGGGCCCTCCCTCTCGGCTTTGCTGCCCCCCTCCTCTGCGACCCTCTGCGAACGCCACCCCGCACGGGTGCACTCGGCGACAGCGTATCGGAGACCTCCGCGGGGGCTCACCTGGCTGCAGACATCCGTCGAACCTCGAGCCACGGCCAGGGTACAGCTGCCTCCCTCCTCGCACGTCCGTCCCGTCGCGGACAGCGCGCGCTGCAGAGGGGGGTGGGGAGAGGACGAGGGTCAATCCGTTCCAGAGCGTCCCGGCGCGCTCTCAGAGCGTTCGGGAACGTTTGGGGAAGGCCGCGGCAACCGAAACATCCTCCGGAGCTCGAAGAAGAAAGCACACCAACGACATGGACTTCTGGCGCTCCGCGCGGATCTCTCGGATCCGCGCCGGGCCCACCCAGCGACGACCCCGGCGCCGCCCCTGGCGCGCTCCTCGCGCCAGGGAGGTGGGTCCAGCGCAGATCCAAGAAATCCGCTCGGAGCGCCAAAAGCTTCTGCTTGTGGCCCTTTTGCTTCTCCTAAGAGCCGCCAGATCTCAGAGATTCCCGATGTATCCTCACACGCAATGTTTGGGATCCCCAGGGCCCAATCTACTTCCAGCGCCGCCCTACTTCAAGAGTCGACCTGTTTTTGCTGTGCTTTGTTATTCCCTGCGAGGGCATGGGCCCCATCTATTGTATCCGACCGACGGGTACCCGATGTGATCATCGAATTGGCTTCATCTTAGGGTTAAGTCGGGCATGTCCCTCTACAAAAGGAATATTCAAGAATAGTCAAAACATAGTGTGGGGACGATGTTTCGAGTATTGTTTGACAATTTTGAGCATTTTCTGCGTGCTCTCTATTTTCCCTCCACAATCTGCCTGTAGGGGGACATGCCCGACCGACCTAACATTGCCCGACATGGAGGAGGAGGAGGAGGAGGAGGAGGAGGAGTGTTCTCCTCCAGCTGGCTTCGTCCCACGGCGCGGCGGCGCTGCCGGGGGGCCAGGCGCCGGGACATACGCCTGGACGTGCCGTACGCGGCCCCCCCGCCCGCCAAGCCGCCGGCGGGCCAGGCCTCGGGGAGGGGGGGGGGGGCCTGCGGGCATTGGGCGGGGCGCCTCGGGGGGGGGGGGGGGGGGCGCGCGCCTCGGGGGGGTGGGCGCCTCGGAGGGGGGGCCTTCTGGAAGTGGCGGGGGGGGGGGCGGCAGCCTTCTCCTGGGTCGTCCCGCGCGCTTCCCGCCTCCCTCGAGGGAGAAGACAGACACACCACAACACACATACGGTTTTTGTGCCGTCGGCGGCTGGGCAGAGCCACTGCGCTGGGGAGGAATACAAGCACACAAACATGAGCTTTTGGCGCTCCGCGCGGGTGTCTCGGCTCCGCGCTGAGCCCCCTTGGCAGCGCCGCCCCTGGCGCGCTCCTCGCGCCAGGGGGGTGGGTCCAGCGCAGATCCAGGAAATCCGCGCGGAGCGCCAAAAGAATTATAGGTATGGCGTTTTTCTTCCTGGGCACTCCCGCTCTCTTCCCGCCTCCGCCTCCCCCCTCCCGGACCTCGCGCGCGCCCGTCCCCCCCACTCTCGCCCCCCCCTCTTCGCAGGCGACTGGTCTCCCCCGATCCTCGAGGTCCAGCCTGATGAGTGAGGCCGTCTGGGAGAGAAGGCTGGGGACCTTTCCATGCACCCGACTGGGGGCTCTTCGGACGCGCACCCCCTGTCGAGGATGGGCCCCCCGCAGGCTTATGTCGGGCGTGTCCCCCTACAGGGGGACTTTCGACGAAAAATCAAAAAATACCCCAAGAATACCCCGCCAACAAGGTCAACACATATTCAATAAGTAGTCCCCAGACTATTTTTGGATTATGTTTTGATTATTGTTGGGGTACTTTTTTATTTCGTCGACAATCCCCCTGTAGGGGGACAGGCCGACTTAACCCCAGGCTCATCTCCCAGGGTTTGGGCCCCGCACGCCTGGCCCACCAGGAATCACCCCCGCAACGCCTGTGAGAGAGAGGGGTCCACGTACAGTGCCGATTTTAATACATGCTCCGCGTGCGGATCATGTATTACACATGCAGGGATTTCGTACTCAAGACAACGATTAGTTCATGCATGAATTTATTCTTACATTCTTACAGTAGTCATGTACTAAAATCATACGTTTTGATAAACATCCCATGTATTAGAAACTGCCCTGTACCCCTTGTTCCCCTGGGCCGTCGCGCGCGCTCTGGCCGCCCCTCCCCCTGCTGGAGGACCCCTCGCGCCCGCCCCCCCGCCCTCCCCCCCCCGCCATCTGCCCCGCCGCCCCCCGCGCGTTCTGTTTTTTTGTAGGGGAACGAAAAGTGGCATAAGCATAAGAACTCCCGCGCTTTCTCGGATCCGCGCTGGGGCCCCCCAGCGGCGCCTCCGTCGCCGCCCCTGGTGCGCTCCGCGCGCCAGGGAGGGGGGTCCAGCGCCGATCCGAGAAATCCGCGCGGACCTCCGAGTCTTAATGTTTATGCCACTGTTTCCCCACATCCAAAGTGGGGTTCTTGTTTTCTCTGGACACCCCGCGCAGGAACCTCCTCACCTCACCCCCTCTCCTCTTCTGTCTTCGTGCGCTCACTCACTCACTAGCTCACTCACTCACTCACTCACTCACTCACTCACTCACTGGCTCATCAGCACTCACTCATGCACACGCTCATGAACTCACATATGATGATGATGATGATGATGATGATGATGATGATGATGATGATGATGATGATGATGATGATGATGATGATGATGATGATGATGATGATGATGATGATGATGATGATGATGATGATGATGATGATGATGATGATGATGTGCGCGTGAGAGAATGTGATGGTCATCATCATCACCAGTCAGTCAGTCACTCACTCACTCACTCACTCGCCTTGGGCCTCGTCTGTGAGTGAATTGCGAGGAAGTCTCAAGCGGGAGCCCCCTCCCTATGGGGCCCGCGGATCATGTTACTAATCCGAGGAAGTCTCAAGCGGGAGCTCCCTCCCTGTGGGGCCCGCGGATCATGTTACTAATCCGAGCGGGTCATCCAATTCCTCTAAGTGTCGCCTTTTTTGGGCTCTCGCGCTGCCAGAACGCCATTCCCAGGCGGATCATGCTACTAATCCGAGGAAGTCTCAAGCGGGAGCCGCCTCCCTACGGGGCCCGCGGATCTTATTAGTAATCCGAGCGGGTCATCCAATTCCTCTAAGTGTCGCCATTTTTGGGCTCTCGCGCTGCCAGAACGCCATTCCCAGGCGGATCATGTTACTAATCCGAGGAAGTCTTAAGCGGGAGCCCCTTCCTTATGGGGCCCGCGGATCTTATTAGTAATCTGAGCGGGTCATCCAATTCCTCTAAGTGTCGCCACTTTTGGGCTCTCGCGCTGCCAGAACGCCATTCCCAGGCGGATCATGTTACTAATCCGAGGAAGTCTTAAGCGGGAGCCCCTTCCTTATGGGACCCGCGGATCTCATTAGTAATCTGAGCGGGTCATCCAATTCCTGTAACTGTCGCCCTTTTTGGGCTCTCGCGCTGCCAGAACGCCATTCCCAGGCCACATTTGGAATGCCCCGAGCCAACTGTAGGCCACTTCGTGTTCTTCGCGCTCCCAGAACACCATTCCCGGGCCACATTTTGAATGCCCGGAGCCAACGGTAGGCCAGTTAGTGTTTTTCGCGTTCCCAGAACACCACTCCTGGGCCACATTCTGAATGTCCAGAGCCAACTGTAGGCCACTTTGTGTTCGTCGTGTTCCCAGAGCGCTATTCCCGGCACGTATCCACTGGGACGCACCCCTGTTCGCTTCCTCTGGGTCGTGCCCCCGCACGTATCCACTGGGACGCACTCTGTGCGTTTCGTCTGGGTCGTGTTCACTGGGACGCACCCGATGATGATGATGATGATGATGATGATGATGATGATGATGATGATGATGATGATGATGATGATGATGATGATGATGATGATGGCGATGATGATGCTGATGCTGATGCTGATGATGATGATGATGATGATGATGATGATGATGATGATGATGATGACGAGGTCGGGGGCAACGTAGGGAGCGTGGGGAGGGCCCGCGCCAGGGCGAGAAGAAATAGACGCAGCAGAGACAGCCAGGACGCCTCACCAACCACGAGGACGACGGTGAGGGCTTTTTCCAGACTCGCCCAGAGGATTATCATGCGGGGTCCTTCCGTCGGAGTAGTCGTTTCCTTATTTTTCCCCCCCGCCATTCGGGGAAACGTGAGACTCGAGTGCGCCGGAACTGGGCCTCTTGGATCGATCTCTCGCCCCCCCCCGATTTCCCCCACGACGAAGCAAGCCGCTCGGAAGAGGAGGGGAACTCGGGGATACATGGAAACCCAAGCCAAGAAACAGTCTGCTTGCCTCCAGGGTGCCCTGGGTTTCTTGGGTTTCGATGATTCGGCCATGGAAAGAGGGACGTCCCCACGCCCAAAATTGATGGACGGCCTGGGGTTTCAGGGTTGGGTTTTTTGTGGAAGGTTTCTTGTGGACTGGCCTCCACTGTACACCCCCCAGGGAGGCTATTCGGACGCACCCCTATCGAGGATGGGCGCGGCCTTGTCGTACATACCAGGGTTGGGCCCCCAATGTTTGGTCCATTCGAAAGCCCAAGAAAGCCTGGGATGGGGGTCGACAGATCCCTTGTTCTCCCGGGCCGTCTCCCGCTCTTCCCGCCTCCCCCGTTCCGAGACCTCGCGCCCGTCCCCCCGCCCTCCCCCGTCCCCTCTGCCTCCCCGCCCCCCCCCTCCCCCCTTTCCTCAGACTCCCTCGCGCTGCGAAACAGAATCAGCACGACGGGTGCTCGTTCCGTGTTTTCGGCCTTCGAGGGGCCCTTCCCGGACTTCGGGGCCGCCAGGAACGAGAAAGTCCGGTCCCGGGGAAGGGGTCGCGACCTCTGGGGGTCGACGCTGTGGAGAAAAATAGCGACGTCGGTGAGGGTCTGGACCGCGCATGCTCCTCGTTTTCCTTCCTTCTCCTCCGCCTCCTTCTCCTCCTCCTCTCCAGCGCCTCACGCCTCCTTCTTCATTTTTCTCCTCACGCATCGTAGTTCGCCAGTCATCGTCTTCCCTCGTCCTCGTCCTCGTCGTCGGGTTCCTCCTCCTTCGCCTCCTCATTCGCCCTCTCCCTCTTCTTTGTCCTGCTGCTGATGCTGCTGTCGCCGTTGTCGCTAGACTTGCTGCTTGTGGTTCGCCTCCTCATTATCGCTTTCTGCTGCTGCCGCTGGCGCTGTTGACTTCTGGTTGCTGTCTGCTGCGGCTTCTAACGACACGCGTTTTCCTCCTTTCGGCCCTTTGCCAACCGCGTGGTTGTACAGTGGAGTACAGGAGGAGGCCGAGTAGTAGGAAAGTGTGAGGATGATAACTAAGTTGATGGTGCTGTTCACGATGATTATGGTGGTGCTAATACTAGTCGATCAATAAGCATGGTAGTGATGATGGTGATGCTGTTGCTGATGATGCTGCTGATGATGATGGTCATGATGTCGTCGATGCTGATTCTGATGATGCTGATGATGATGATGATGATTATGATGATACTGATGGCGATGATGATGTTGATGGTGATTGTGAGGGTGATAGTGCTGGTGGTGATGATGATGTTGACGTTGCGTATGTTGTTGATGATGTTAATGATGATGATGTTGATGTTGATGATGATGATGATGATGATGATGATGATGATGATGATGATGGTGATGGTGATGGTGATGGTGATGGTGATGATGATGATGATGATGATGATGATGATGATGATGATGATGCTGATGATGATGATGATGATGATGGTGATGCTAATGATCATGGTGGGCGATGGTTATGGTGATGAGGATGGTGATGGTGGTGATGTTGATGGTGGTAGCGATGGTGATGGTGATGATGACGATGATGGCGATGTTGAGTTCTGGTAATGAGGATGGCAATAATCATGAGGTAGAGGAGGATGACGATGTACGCAGTTGAGGAAGACAGTCGTAAGGTTCAGGAGATGGTGGAGGGATAATGTTGTAGTGGGACGCGGGAGCACACGCGGAGGAGGAGGAGACGGCGGCAGACATGGGGAGGTCATCAGACACCAGGAGGGAGAGGAGAGACGGAGAGCAAGAGCTGGAGTTACGGCATGGGGCAGGGACTCTGCGCGCAGAAGGGAAATGCAGTAGCGCGCCGCGCGCCCCCTGATACGAGGCTGGCAAGGGCCGTTCTGCGGCCACGCCAGCGGCTCCGCCGGGCAAGCCGCCTGCCAAGCCGGCGGGCGAGCCAGCGGGCAAGCCGGCGGGCAAGGCGGCGGCCAAGGCGGCGGCCAAGGCGGCGGGCAAGCCGGCGGGCAAGCCGGCGGGCAAGCCCGCGGGCAAGCCAGCAGGCGATTTCTCGCGATCGGGAACGAGGACGGTTGCATGTAATTTGCGTAGTTTGAGGCATGCTCGGTTGAGGCGCAGGAGAAAGCGGATGAGAAGCAGATAGGGGAGGAGTAGGCGGAGGAGGAGGAGGACCAGTGTAAACCCAAGGTTATCAACGATGTTGGAAATAACCCTCCATCCAAGCTCCCTCTTCAGAGGCCCCTACAATGGTTCATTTCCACAGACGGAACTGCCTCGTTGGAAGACAACCGTTTGAAGACCCTGAAGCGTGCCAAAACATTGTATTCTTTGGATTCCGACGCCACGGATCAACCTGATTGTGGCGCCGTGACGATCCGGAGTCGTGCCATATTTCCATTCTTGGGATGTCAACACCGCGAATCAACATAACTGTTGACCTGTACAATTTTGAATCCTTCCAAACACACCATTTGAGGTATGGTGGTCATGGAAGCCCGTGAAACTCTTGCACATGCTATAAAGGAATGTGCGCGGCCCTAACGCGAGAGCCACATTTGTAAAGGAACCGCTTTCAATATGTGAAATTCTTGTACATGTTAAAAACGAATGTGCGCGGCGTTGAGGCGAGAGCCACATTTTGAAACTGGGTCTCCCTCAGGCCGTGAACCTCTTGCAGATGTTTGCAACAAATTTGCGCGGCGCTACGGCGAGAGCCAATTTTTGAGAACGGGTCGCCCTCAATCCGTGGAATTATTATTATGTTTCCCAACCCTCGCTTGGTTGGGTTCTCATTTTGAATCGACCACCGTGGTCTTCATAACTCCCTCACTCACTTCTCCCCCCTCCTCCTTCCTCCCGCCTTTCTTCTTCTCCTCGTTCTTTCCTCCTTGTCCCACGGGGACCACCATGAGACCTTGCCGTCGCTGGGAGGCTGCGATCAGCGAAAGTGTCGCCAGTTTCGTGGGCTCCTGGGAGGTCCAGCGGAGGGGCGTCTTACGCAGATCACCATGCGACCTCGCCGTCCGTGGGGGGCTGCGATCAGCGAAATTGTCGTCAGCTTTGTGGGCGCCTGGGAAATCCAGCGGGGGTGTCCCAAGGTGGCCACCATGCGACCTCGCCGTCCGTGGGGGGCTGCGATCAGCGAAAGTGTCGCCACTTTTGTGGGCGCTGGGGAGTTCAGCGGAGGGATGTCCCACGGGGACCACCATGCGACCTCGCCGTCCCTGGGGGGGGGGGGCTGCGATCTGCGAAATTGTCGCCACGTTCGTGGGCTCTTGGGGGTCCAGCGGGGGGGTGTCCCACGGGGACCACCATGAGACCTCGCCGTCGCTGGGGGGCTGCGATCTGCGAAATGGTCGCCACTGTCGTTGGCTCCTGGGGGGTCCAGCAGGGGGTCTCCCACGGGGACCACCATGAGACCTCGCCGTCGCTGGGGGGCTGCGATCTGCGACATTGTCGCCACGTTCGTGGGCTCCTGGGAGGTCCAGCGGAGGGGCGCCTTACGCAGATCACCAAGCGACTTCGCCTTCCGTGGGGGGCTGCGATCAGCGAAAACGTCGCCAGTTTCGTGGGCTCCTGGGAGGTCCAGCGGGGGGGCGTCTTACGCAGATCACCATGCGACCTTGCGTCCCTGGGGGGCTGCGATCTGCGGAAATGTCGCCACGTTCGTGGGTTCCTGGGAGGCCTAGCGGAGGTGCGCCTCACGCAGATCACCATGAGACCTCGCCGTCCTCTGGAGGGTTGGGTTGCGACGTTGGGGGGTCCAGCGGCGCTGCTCACACGAATTATGTCTCCAAGTGTATTTTCTTGATGTGGTCCACACTCCCTCGCGGCCTCCATCCTGCAAACGATCTGACTATTAAGAGTGACGCCGCAGATGTGAACATGCGACTCTGGCCCGACGTTCTTGGGCGAATCATTTAAGAGCACGGCGGATCCGTCAGTGCTCGCTTTTGTATTGAGCGGTGCGATGTATAGTCGCCTACATAAGGTTGGGCAGTTTAAACGAATGTGCGCAGCGCTAAGGCGATTGCCACATTTTGAAAACGACCCCCCGTCCTCCATCAGTGAAACTGTTGCACTTTGTCCTAAACATCCTGTGGTGTTGGTTTCTCGTTTTGAATAGACGGTCCCCGCGTCCCTCCTCCCCTCCGCCTCCCCCTCCCCCCTCCATCTTGGCACACCCGTCACACGTTTCGTGGCACCAAAGGGGGTTCCACCTAAGGTCCTGGTGACGCAGTCCGTATGGCGGCGCCGTCCTATTTTGGCACGCCCGTCACACGCTTCGAGGTACCATAGGGAGCCCCACCTAAGGTCCCAGTGGCGCAGTCCGCATGGCGGCGCCGCCCCATTTTGGAACACACCTCACATGTGTCGTGGCCCCATGGGGAGCTCCACCTAACGCCCCAGTGGCGCTGTCCGCATGGCGGCGCCGTCCCATTTTGGCACACCCCTCCTACGTTCCGTGGCACCATAGGGAGCCCCACCTGAGGCCCCAGTGGCGCACCCAAGGTCCCTGTGGCGCAGTCCGCATGGCGGCACCGCCCCATTTTGGAATACCCTTCACACGTTTCGTGGTCTCATAGGGAGCACCACCGAAGGCCCCAGTGGCGCAGTCCGCATGGCGGCACCGCCCCATTTTGGAACACCCTTTACACGTTTCGTGGCACCATAGGAAGCTCCAACTGATGTCCCAGAGACGCAGTCCGCATAGCGGCGCCGCCCCATACCCTTCATACGTTTCGTGGCCCCATATGGAGCTCCACCCCAGTTCCCAGTGGCGGCGCCGCCCCATTTTGGAACACCCTATCACACGTTGCGTGGCCCCATACGGAGCTCCACTTAAGGCCTCACTGGCGCAGTCCGCATGGCGGCGCCGCCCCATTTTGGAACACCCCTCACACGCTTCCTGCGCATTGTTATTATCATCGCCATCATCGTCGCTCCCCCCTCGCACGCTTCGTGACCATAGGGAGCTCCGCCTAATTCCCCAGTGGCAGCGCCCGCATGGCGTCCCCGCCCCATCTCGGCACATCCCTCACACGCTTTGTGGCCCTAGGAAGGAGGTTTTACATCAGGCCCCATTAACAGCGCCCGCATGGCGGCCCCGCCCCATGTCGGCACACTCTTCACGCGCTTCGTGGCCCCAAAAGGAGATCCACAAATACGAACAACGATTTTATTCACAACTGCGTATTTCTGGGTCCTTCGCCAGGCTTATTTAAAACGAATGCGCGCGGCGCGTGGGCGAGAGCCACATTTTGAAAATCACTTGCCCTCCATCTTTGAGGCTGTTGTTTATGTTTAAGCTTCAGGGTCATATATGACGAGGAGAAACCTCAGGCGAAACGCCCGGCCCGCCCTTAAAATTCGCCTCCGGGTGCGACAGGGAACACTTATTCATAAGGAAAGGACTTGAGGAGGAGGAGGAGGAGGAGGAGGAGGAGCAGGAGGAGCAGGAGGAGCAGGAGGAGGGGCAAGGCCGCGTGGAGGTGGACGCGGAAAGGGTGGATGACGGACACGGAGAGGGAGCAGTGGAGGTGGCGGGGGAGGCGGGGGAGGAGGGGAGTTTGGACGGGGCGTGTGAGAAAGGGGGTAGGAATCCGGAGCGGAGGGGGGCGGCATTGAAGAGCGGAAAGGGGGGGGGGAATCGCATGATGATGATGAGGAGGAGGAGGGGGAGGAGGAGCAGGAGGAGCAGGAGGAAGTGGACCAGTGTAAACCCAAGGCGCACCGATGATGTTGCAATAGGTCCTTCCTCCAGGTTCCCTCTTTACGGGTCCCACGATGCATGTGCCATCATTGTCTGGGTGTCCCGTTAGAAGGCAACCGCTTGGGAATCTTCGCTCCTGCCAAAGCGCCATTCCCGAGACTTCAGCGCCGCAGATCAGCAGGCCTCCTGCGCCCTGACAGTCACCTGTCATGCTAGACCACCAGTCCGGGGATCTCGGCACCGCGAGTCGAATCGTCTGTTGCGCCCTGGCAGCCCTGACTCGCACCAGAGAGCGCTGTTTTGACACTTTGACCATACGCAGCCTTGACATGCTCGCAGTATGTGCTGCACGAACTTGCGCGGGGCGGAGTCGAGAGCCACAGTCTGCGAGGGGACCGCCCCCAGTCATGAAAGTTGCTGCTAACTTTGGGGACGAAGCTTGCTCGGCGCTGAGGCACGAGGCACACTTGAACAGCATCTGCCCTCGATCGTCGAAACAACTGCGGGGCGCATTTTACGTTGAAGATGCGTGTCGCAACGACCCGACCTCCATCCGCGAAATGTGTGCCACGCTTTGATTCGAACGTGCGCGGCGCTTATGGTGAGGGTCATATTTTGATAAAAAGACCCGCCATCTATCCGCAAAACCATTGCACACGTTTGAGACGAATGAGAGCGGTGCTAAGGCGAGAGCCACATGTTGAAAAAAAAGCCCTCCACCCGCAAATCTGACGATACTTGCGCGGCGATGAGGCGAGAACCACATTTTGAAAACGGCCCGCGAGGTGGGAGGAGGAGAGGAGAAGAGGAGGAGATGAGGAGAGGAGGAGGAGGAGGAGGAGGAGGAGGAGGAGGACGAGGACGAGGACGAGGACGAGGAGGAGGAGGAGCAGGAGGACGACGAGGACGAGGACGAGGAGGAGGAGGAGGAGGAGGAGGAGCAGGAGGGAGCAGCAGAATCGGGAGCGGCAGCGGCAGGAGCTCGTGGCAGCCGCGGGGGGGGGGCTGGAGGTTGACGTGCGGGGGCACGATGTCATAGCCTACGGGGGGCCAGGGCTCCGGCAGGCGCAGGCAGAGCCAGGCAGCGGCCGGGGAACAGGCGTCGACATGGCCAGGAACTTTCGGAGGCCCGCGCTGATGTCTTGGATCGGTGCTGGACCCCCCCCCTCCCTGGCACGCGGAGCGCGCCAGGGGGCCCAGCGCAGATCGGAGAAGTCTGCGCGGACTGTTTCTGTCGCAGTCTGCTCCTCGACGGCAGCATCAGCAGCGGCGGCGGCGGCGGCGGAGGAGCGCTTGCTTTGGTAGCAGGGCGCGGCGCGCGAAAGCGGCCCGCCCGCCCAACCGAGGCGAGCCCGCGCCGCCGGGCAAGCCGCCGGCCGCCGGCAAGGGCCGCCGCTGAGAGGCGGGGCGGGGCGCGCCTGGAGGCCCTCAGGGTCTTGGTGGTGGCGGCGCTGGCAGCGTGTGCGCGGCAGCTCCTGTCGGGCGCAACGGTAGGGGGGATAGGCTTCAGGGGGGGCGCAGCGGCCTCCGATCGCCCGCTCATCGTTGGTAGGGGGCCGACGGCCCACCCCGCCCGGGAACATGCGGCTTCGCTGTCGGGGGCCTGTCGCAGATCTATCGGCAGCGTGTCGCCACTTCAAGCTTGATGTGTCCCCCCTGCTGGTCCCCCCCTAACGTCCCCCCTCACTCTGAGGCCGCCGTGGCGTTCCGAACGGCCTCCAAGGTATTTTCCAGTGTCGTAGCGCGCGGTGTTGTCGCAGAGGCAGGAGGCTGATGCCATCCCGCCGACCCTTGGGACATTGCGGAGTCGTGATGATTGTTGGAAAGTTGCGGCTGCGTCTGGGTCCTGTTGCAGAGGTTTGTGGGGGACCTCCTAGGGTTTCTGGGTTGGCATCGTTGGGATGCTCATACCTGTATTGTTGTTGTTTCGAGGAGGGGCCCACAAGAAGGGCGGCTGTTTCTTGAGAGCCGCTATCGTTGATCTTTCAAGGTGCTTTTCGGAGCCATCCTTCTTGAGGCTCTCTTGGGGCCATGTTTGGGGCCCTGTGGCTCTTTGGGGGTCTATTGGGGGCTTCTGCGGGGGCCATCCCTGGGGGCCGCGTGGGGGCGAGGGGAAGAAGAGGAGGAAGAGGAGGAGGAGGAGGAGGAGGCCTCTTGGGCGCCTCTTGGGGCACTCTTGGGGCCTCCTGGGAGCTTCCTGGGGTCCTCTATGAGGGTTTTTGGAGGCCTTTGGGGGCTTCTTGGGGGCCTGTTTGGCCGTCTTAGGGCGTTCCCCGCTTGTCTGACGCCGTCGGAAGCCGTCTTGGGGGCCTGTCTGGGTCGTCGTGGGGCCCTCTTGGGGCATACCAGGGGTTCTTAGAGGCCATCATGGGCGTCTTGGAGGCCTCTTGAGCCGTTTGGGGGCCCTCTTGGGGCCGTCTTGGGGGCCTTTGGGGCCGTCATGGGGCCATCTTAGAGGCCTTGGGCGATCATAGGGGGCCTCATGCGCCGTCTTGAGCAGTCGGAGTGCCGAGAAGAAACAAATGCCAAAATCTTTCAAACGGACAATTAATGATTTTGGCCTCTTCGTGCCCTCCTGGAAGACCTCCTGGACACCTTTTGGGTCGTCTTGGAGGCCTCTTGGGGGCCTCTTGGGCCGTCTTGCGCCATCTTGAGGCCATCTTTGGCGGTCTTGGGTGCATCTCGGGGCGTCTTGCAGGCATCCTTGGGCCATCTTAGCCGTCTTGGAGGCCATGTTGGCCGTCTTGGAGGGCTCTGGGGCCGTCTTGGGGGCCTCTTGAGCCGTCATGGGGCCATCTTGGAGGCCTCGTGGGCGATCTTGGAGGCCTCTTGGGCCGTCTTGAGCCGTCGGAATGCCGAAAAGAAGCAACTGTCAAGGTCTCTAGGAAAATCAATGATTTTTGCCTCTGCGGGCCCTCCTGGAGGGCCTCTCGGAGGCCTCTTGGGCCGTCTTGGAGGCCTCTTGGGGGCTTCTTGGGCCGTCTTAGGCCATCTTGAGGCCATCTCAGGCCGTCTTGGGTGCGTCTTGGGCTGTCTTGGAGGCATCTGGGGGCCATATTAGCAGTCTTGGAGGCTATTTTGGCCGTCTTTGAGGCCTCTGGGGCCGTCTTGGGGCCCTCTTGGGGCCCTCGTGGGGCTCTCTTGGGGCCCTCTTGGGAGCCCTGGAAGGCCTCTTTGGGCCATCTTGAAGGCCATCGATCAATCGATCAAAGGAGGAGATGGTGTAACGTTCGCCACCCCCCCCAAAGAGGCCATAATGGGACCAACACCTTAGTAAAACCAACGAGTTTGGCTTCCTCGCCGAGGCCGTTTCGGACGCCCTGACACCTCGCGGACCTCCCCCAAAAAGTCCGGGGGGGGGGTAAGGGGAGGGGTAAACCCCTCCCCGTAGGGAAAGAGGGGTCCTTTGGAAGAGGGAAGAGGAATCTCGTTAGACCATCTGTCGCCCAAAGGGCTGATGGGATTGTTGGGGCATCTTGGTGTGGTGGGCTCCCAGGGCTACTTCGTCTTCCGGGCGCCCCCAAGGAGACCCACTTGGAGTCTTCTTGTGGCCCTCTTGGGACCCTCTTGGGAGCCTCTTGCGCCTGCCTGACGGCCTGGCGGGCCGTCCTGGGCTTTCGGAAACCTGGAAAGGCGAGAGCACGAACATGTGTCCAAACTTGCTTTAGCGCTCGTATCGTAGGAGGGCCCGAGCAAATGACGGTAGTTGACCGCCATTGCTCTAGTACCCCTTTGCCGCCCAGACCGACCCCAGCTCAGAAATGCGCTCAGAAGCGTGCTCTGAGCAAAACAAGTGTCCAAATTTGCGGGACATTTGTGATTTTTGCTGTATCTGAAAGTCCTTTTGGGGAGTTCTCTTGTGGCTCTCGGGCCGTCTCTGGAGCGGTCGAGGCCGTCTTGAGAGTCTGCTGAGGCGCGCTGGCGACCTCCGCGAGCGTCCTGGGAAGGTATCTTGGGCAGGTTTTCAGGCGTCGGAGGGTGCATTTGCACGCCCTGGGAGCCCGGTGGGTGTTTTGCTGAGCTCGTCGCTGCCCTGGTCCCCCCCACCCTCAAACGCGATTCTGGATCCTGAGGCAGGGGGGGAAGGGGACAGCCAGATGTTTGTGTGCAACTCTTGAGACTCTAAGTTCAGGGTCGACGCTGGTAGCTGCGTGGTCGAAAACTGGCCTCATCCGGCGTAGTGCCCGTGATGCCGCTCACTCCCGTTTCATCCAGGTTAGCTTGGATCAGCCCGAGCGCCCCCGCATTATTTTGATGCGAGCGATGCCCACCCAACAACGCGAGGCGGGATAAAGTCGGGGCGCTGAAGAAGGAACCCTGTTGGTTTGTGGGAGGGGCTCAGTCTTCCTCAGCTGTTTTGCAGTTCGCCTTACGTAGGTTGTTCTGAGGTGTCCGGTGGGACATCGAAGCTCCATGCACGGAAAAAGGTGGCCTCGCTCCTCATCTACTAAGGAACCCTGTTCTTTTGGGAGGGGCTAAGTCTTCCTCAGCTGTGTTGCAGTTCGCCTTACTTAGGTTCTTCGTAGATGTTCGGTGGGACGTCGAAGTTCCATGTACGGAAAGAGGGGGCCTCGCTCCTCATCTATGAGGGCTCCTGAGGTCCACGCCCCGACTGTGCCCAGGGGAGCACCAGCACGCTCTGGGCCTGGCGGCCGCGGCGGTGTGCGGTCGCCGCTCGTCGAAGGCGCAGAGAGTGGCACACGCTGGGCAGGAGGGAGAGAAACACACAGACACAATGAATCGTCGATTCCCCCGGAAAGATGGGAACATATGGGACGTGGGGGGGGAAGACAAGCTCCAAGAAAATATGGGAAATCATGGGGAATCTTTTCATATGTGTGTATTTATTTGTGCGTCCTGGGACCATTTCAAATGGGCCTGGCGCTCTCGCGGGCATGCCGGGTGCGCGAGGCGGGCCGGGAGCTCGCGTCCTGCAGCAGGACGGCCCCGACCTGTCGTGTGGGGGCCGGTGGCAGCTCTGCAGCTTCTCCTCTCCTCCTCTCTCCTCTCCTCCTCTCTCCTCTCCTCTCCTCCTCCTCCTCCTCCTCCTCCTCCTCCTCCTCCTCTCCTCTCCTCCTCCTCTCCTCCTCCTCCTCCTCCTCTCCTCCTCCCTCCTCCTCCCTCCTCCTCTCCTCCTCCTCCTCCTCTCTCCTCTTCTCCTCCTCTCCTCCTCCTCCTCCTCCTCCTGCTCCTCCTCCTCCTCCTCCTCCTCTCCCTCCTCCTCCTCCTGCTCCTGCCCCTGCTCCTGCTCCTGCTCCTCCTCCTCCTCCTCCTCCTCCTCCTGCTCCTCCTCCTGCTCTTGCTCCTGCTTCTGCCTGCTCCTCCTCCTCCTTCTCCTCCTCCTCCTCCTCCTCCTCTTCCTCCTCCTCCTCCACTGTTCCCCACGCGACCTGTCGGGTGGGGAGCAGTGGCAGCTCTGCAGCAGCCTCGAGCCCGTGGAGTCATGTTGGGGCTCTTCTCTCCCCCTCGAAGAAGGAAAGACACCATAGATATAGACTGTTGGCGCTCCGCGCGGATTCCATGGATCCGCGCTGAGCGCCAAAGAGATCCGCGCCGCGCGCCAAAAGTTTATGTTTATGGCGTTGCTTCTTCTTCTTCTTCTTCAATTCCTTCTTCTTCTTCTTCAACTCCTGGTGTTCGTTCGGGACCTTTTCAGAGCCCTGGCGGCAAGCGGGGGGCCGGCGGATTATACCACGGGAGCAGCTGCCCCGTGGCGCACGCGGCGGCGGCCGCCGCCAGGGCACGAGCACCGGGCCAGCCCGAGCAGGCGACTTGCTTGACCCTCGCCAGAGGGAGGGGCGGAGGAAGCGATAGGGGGCGCGGAAGGAGGTCAGGGACAGGGCTGGACCTAAACGGTGTTTTGGTGATTTTTCGTGGGCCGTTTTCGTCTCGACTTCGTTTTGCAGTAGAGGTGGCTTGAAGACAGAACGAGAGAAAAACAAAAACAAAGCGAAACGAAAAACACCGTTTAGGTTCAGCCCTGCAGAGGAGGAGGTCAGGGGAGGAGGTCAGAGGAGGTCAGGGAGGGAAGCGGTCCGGTCAAAGCAGGTCAGGCGAGATGAGGTCGCCACCGTCGGAGGGAGGGAGGAGGCCCGTGGAGGGAAAGGCACCGGTGCCACTACCCCTGCCCCGGCTGCGCTGCTCTTGGGGCCTCTTGGGAGCCCCTCCTCGTGGCCACCGCTGGGCTCGCCTCGGCAGTCGGGTCAGAGGGCACTCCTGGGTCCGGTCCGGCAGAGGTGGTATCGGTGCGTGTTGGCCTCCCGAGGAAAGGGGTTCTTGAGAGCACGAAGGGTGCTTGTTCCACCGTAAGTGTATAAACTTTCCAGCCGCCCAGGGACAGGCGCCCCCGACAGCGAAAAAGTTTATTTTGTATCGTTCTTCGCTCGCTCAGTTCTTGAGAACACGAAGGGTGCTTGTGGGAGCATGGAGAGACAATAATCCGATGGAGGAGTCGGAGGTCCGATTTCCGCTGAGCCAGGAAGCCCTGCGGAGCGTTCCCGAGCTCACGGCACAGCGCCGCACGGTGCGGTGCGGCGTTGCACGCGGCATGTTCTTTGCCGTGGTTTGTGCCGCGGGTTGCACCGCAGGTTGCGCCGCAGGCTCAGTATGGGTTGCGCCATAATTCAGATCGTGAATTACCTACCCCGCTTTCGCTTCCAGGAAAAACCAAGTCATACCACGCGCCAAGTCGAGCCCAGGCACGAGTGCTGACCAGTCCCAGTCTGGGAGTGGGAAGGGCGGCTCGGCCCAGCAGCGCAGTGGCAAAGGATCGGACACAGGTGGCAAGCAGACGCAGCGCGACTACCTCGCGGCTGCAGTGGAGCAGCTCACGCTTGCTGGGCTGGCAGACGACCACCCGCTCATGGTGGCCGCCAAGGCTCAGGTGCCCTCCGCTGCTGCTGCTCAGCCTGACGAACGTGGCCCACCGCCATGGATGCGAGTTCGGTCCCATCAGGACAAGCTGGCCCACTTCCAGGGCCAGCTTACTGCGTCGAAGGCGACGGAGGCCAACCTCCGTCAACAGATCACGGAGCTGGAGCAGGACCTGGAGGACTGCGTTGCATCCCAGGCGGCTCTGGCGGAATCGGTCAAGAAGGAAGAGGAGGAGCTCCAGAGGCTCCATCGACGTGCTGCTCTTCACCCTGCTGGTGATGACTGCAAGGCGGCTGTCAACGGGCTGGTGGAGACGCTGTTCGGCCATCTGCCCGAGTCGTTCAGAGTGGCGAAGGCGGACCAGCTCCGCACCGCGGTGGACCTCCTGGGCGACCTGGCTGCTGCTGGGGCCTCTTTCCAGGAGCAGGAGGAAGCACGGCGGAAGGCACAGGCCGAGGAGGCCGCGCAGCGTGCCATGTCGGGCAGCGGCCCTTCGCCAGCCCCAGCGGCACCCTCGGACTCACGTGTGGCGGAGGATTGCAAGCAGCAACTTACTGAGTTGCTGGAGGGCGGACAGGCAGGGCAGTACGAAGGTCTCTACAGGACCATGCTCGATTTCCTGCAGAACCCTTCAGCCCTCAGCAAGAGGCCCAGGAGGGACGCGCCAGGCCCAGAGGCTGCGGCGGCGGCGGCCCCCTCGGCCGCGCCTGGCCCTGCGGCTGCTGATGTTCCTGCTGATGTTCCTATGCCTGCTGACCGCGATGTCGCTGGTGCCCCACCCCCGTCGGGGTAGCGGGGTCGGCGCTGCAGCTGCTGGACGCCGCCTGCCTGCGCCCGCCTCACACCGAGGCAGGTGGCGCTCCCTGGCGGCGCGGGCTGGGGCTACTGGCCATCGACGAGTTCGAGGCGAGAGTGTGCAGGAGGAGACTCCTGCGGTGCAGGAGGAGACTCCTGCGGCCCGTCGGCCTGAGGTATGGAAGCTGTGTACGGCCAACATCACCTCGTGGGGCATCGAGTGCGGGGACAGGGGTAAGGTCACGAGAAGGCCCTTCCTGGAGCTCTGCGACTCTGTGGATGCCGACATCTACGTTTTCCAAGAGCACCACCAGACGGAGCTACGTTTGGTGGACGTTCAGCAGGCGCTGGTCAAGGCTGGCATGGTCTCACTCCTCACTCCTGCTGCCCCCTCAGGTCGTTCAGAGGCTGGCACCACTGGAGGAGTGGGCATTGCGACTTCGAAGCTCTGGGGCCTCAAAGGACTCGATGATTTGCCTGAGGGTATCGCGGTTCCTCCTGGATGTCGATTTCGTCTGGGGCTCTGGAGTGGGTTATGTACTGGAGGTGTTTTAGTCGGATCGGTCTACCTGCACACTGGAATCGGCTGCCGCGGTCAAAATCTTTCCTTGCTGCACAGTATTGGGGAGGTCCTGAGGGCGTATGGCATGCCGTTTATTCTGGGTGGAGATTTTCAGTTTTCAGCGGAGCAACTGGTCGAGTCTGGTTGGATTGGGGATCTTCAGGCTGAGGTGGTCTCTGACGTCTCGAATTGGACCTGTCAGTTGGGTACGTCTCGGTCGTCCATCGATTACTTTGTCCTCTCCTCCTCGCTCAAGCAGTTTGTGGTGAGCTGCTCAGTTGCGACATGGTCTACCAGTACCAGACCGCACCGCCCTGTGGTGTTGAGCATGTCTGGCCACCCGCGGCAGGTGACAGTTCCCAGGCTCAAGAAGCCGTCGGCGTTCCCTCTCCACCGCCCTGTTGGATGCGACCCTCGCCCCCTGGAGTGGGACGACTTGCGCGATCAGCTCTCCCAGGGGGATTGTACCAAGGACCGTTTGGATGCTGTCACTTCTCTGTGGGTTCAAAGGGCTGAGGTGGCGCTTTCTCGCGTATTTCATGTCGATGGGGATCCACGATACCGAGGCCGAGGAGGCCCCCCCAAGGTGGTGCAAGTCCCTCTGCTCGGCCCCCCTGCCTCCACTCACCCCAGGGCTATTGGGGAGGGCCGTATGTGGCGTGTCTTGGAAAGGCGACTCCAGGACATCGTGTATCTCTGGCATGGGCCTGCGCCCACCTTGGGGGGGATCAAACAAGCGGGGATCCTCTTGCGGAAGCTCGTGAACTACCTGTCCCCCTTCACCGATTGCAAGCATTGGGCTTCTTGGCGAGTTCGGGTTCTGGCCGTCAACCCTGCCAACGTCTCGGAGCTCCAGGAGTTGATCTGGCAGGTCCGAAAGTGGGCCCTTCAGCACGAGCATCATGCGGCCTCGGAGCGGGCCCGAGCCTGGCGTGAGTGGGTTCAAGATGCGTTATCTGGGAGCGCTCGACTGGGCCACCGGTTCACCAAAGAGGTTCCGAAGTGGGCTGCATCTGGGCTCTCTTGTTTCTCGGGGCCGTCTGGTGAGCCTCTGGGGATTGCTGCTGAAGCCGATCTTCGGGCTCAAAAGTGGCATCAGCATTGGGGTGTCGGACAAGTTTTCCCAGAGCCTGATTTTGGTTGGTGCGATGACGAGCCAGAGCTGGAGGCCCCCACCCATGAGGAGCTCTTAGCCCTTACCAGGACCTACAGCACGCACACGGCCATCGGAGTCTGTGGCCTGCATCCCCGTCACTGGTCCTTCCTCGACGACGGCGCGGTCGCGGTTTTCCTTCGGATCTGGGCCGAGATGCAGCGCCTGGTTCACATTCCGAGGTGCTGGGCTCTGCTGCTTATTGCTCTTCTACCGAAGCCGCCGCCTGAAGGGGGAGATCGTCCTATCGGGATCTTCGCGACGCCTCTTCGGTTGTGGTCCCGCTGGGCCCGATGGAAAGTTGCTGGCCCTTGGGAAAAGGCAAACCCTCGCGGGTCCTGGTATGGTGACTCAGGGGCCTCATGTGACATTTGCGTTTGGAAGCAGAGTTTCAAGGCGGAGTTGGCCAGAGACCAGGGCAGAGCGGCAGGGACAACCCTGCTCGACCTGGTCAAAGCATATGAGCACGTGCCCCACCATGTTTTAGCTGCAGCAGCCCGTCGGCACAAGTTCCGAGGTAAGACCCTTCGCTTCCTGCTCGCATCATATTGCCTCGACAGAATGGTGCTCTTCCAGAACATCGCCACGCAGGTGGTGGTGACGCACCGCACGATTGTCGCGGGCTGCAGCTGCGCGACTTCCCTACTGCGTCTGGTGCTCTTGTCGCCAGTGGATGCCGTCTCTCTTCGCTTCGTGAATGTCGAGGTGGCGGTCGTGGTAGATGATCTGCAGTTGCAACGTATTGGCGAGGCATGGGAAGTCGCCAGGGAACTCAAGGGGGCCGAGGACCTATTGGCGGCTGAGCTTACGCAGATCGGCTTGACTCTCTCCCTGCCCAAGAAGCACCAGGTGGTCATCGGCCAAGGCATACGGAAGGTGTTTAGGAAAGTCAACCCGTCCTCGTCGAGGTTCCTCACACGCTCGGTTCGGAACCTGGGGCTGGACTTTGGCGGTGGAAATCGGCTTTCTCATTCGGTTCGTGCACAGCGGCTGGGCAGGATGGCGTCTCGGATCCCTCGGTATAAGCGGCTCGCGAAAGCTGGGGGCAAGACGATCAAGCTGGTGCAGACTGGCCTCAAGCCTGGGATGCTCTGGGCAGTGGGAGTTCACGGCATCAGCAACACGCACCTACTGAGCGCCAGGCAACTGGCGCGCGCGGGCATGGTCTACAGGCACACGGGCAGGTCGCTCTCATTGGACCTCATGCTGGCTGGGCCGCAGGTCGACCCCGCCTTCGAGTGCAACAGGAGCCCGATCTTCCTCTGGCTGCAGGCGCTGTGGGACGGATGGGCCCCCAGAGCAGATATGGCGCGACTTCTGAGTGGAGCATGGACACGCCTGTCTAGAGTTCCTGTGTCTCAAGTTTGGTCTGACATTCGCGGACCTGCTTCTGCGCTAGTTGCGACAATTTTGCGGTTGGGTTGGTCTGTATCTGACCCTTTTCATTGGAAGACCCACCGAGGTCCTCTTGCAATTGAACAGATTTCCCCGAAGGATGGAGGTAGGTTAGTTGATGAGGCCACCGAGCGGTGGGTGTGGCGCCAGGTTCTCGCGAAGCATCCCTCGTGGGTCTCGCCCTGCCCTCATCCTCCTCTCGTGGAGCCCCTGAGGTCCCTCCTCCAGCCTCATTCTGTCCGAGGCCCTGACTGGACCCCAAGGCATCAGGGACTGCTGCGGTGCCTGTTTGCAGGAGGTTTCTGGTCGCAGGAGCGACTGTACGAGTCAGGTGGAGCCGTCAACCCGAGCTGCCTTGCCTGTCAGAGTGCTGGATCTACCTGGCACCGATTCTACGATTGCCCCCTGCATACCGAGTTCCGTCGGGATTACAGAGCTGGCAGTGCCATGGCTGGTCAAATGCTAGACATGGCTCGAGCTGCTGCGGTGGATACCTTGCTTTTCACGCGCTTTCTTGTCCCTGACCCTGCTTGGCTCTTCCCGAGCCCCTGCCTCGAGGAGCGAGTCGTGTGGACGGTGCGGTCTCCCGACTTGCTGCTCGACGTGCACGTGTTCGGTGATGGGTCGGGGAGGCACGGAAGTTTCTCTCGCTTACGGCGCTGCGGATGGGGACTCTGTTCGCTTGACGACAGCAAGCGAGTGGTTGCTCGCCTGCATGGCCCTCTGCCCTGTCTCATTCAATCTGTGCCAGCGGCTGAGCTTTTCAGTTTCTTGATGGCGCTGAGGTATATGGGAGCTCAGATGAAGTTTTATACGGATTGCAAGCCGCTCGTGGATGTCTGGCGCCAAGGCGTTGGAGCGGGCACCGCTGCGAGTGACCCGCTTGCCTTACTTTGGAGGGAGGTTTGGAGGCTTGTGTCTGACCGTGGGGGTGAGTCGGTGGAGGTTTCTCACGTCAAAGCGCATACTCCTGCCTCTGCCGTAGCAGAGGGACGGATTTCAGAATGGCAGCGTGTCGGCAATGCCCAGGCTGATCAGTCGGCTAAATGGGGTGCCGCCATGCATAGTGATTCCCTCCAGCTGCGATCTGCGCATGGCGCGTCGCGCAGCGCCATCCGCCTTGTAGCCCAGTTCTGTACCAGGCTGGTCGCTCGGATCGGCACCATCACGCCACGAGACGCCCAAGCGCAAATACTCGGCCGTGCCATAGGCACGATTGAGGGGGGACTTGGTCCCCCGAAGCCGCACTCGCGTTTCGACCCTGCAGTGACGGTGGTTGCGCACAGGTTCCGATGCATGGTGTGCCTTCGGTCAGCGAGGACACGCTCGGTGCTTCGCCAGCTTCGATGTGACGACAGGTCCAGCTCCCACGCGCTTCACCGCGCGGGGCCTTTCCTGTTCTGCTCTCTGTGCGGGGCATTTTCGGAAAAGAAGAGCCAGGGTCTTTCGCAGGATTGCTTACCGATGAATCGTAGGCAGGGTGTCCTGGTGAGAGACTCGAGATACTACAGGCTGCGCAACCTCATGCGAGGCTGCCATCCTTTACGGGCCCGCGATTTTGTGGGCCCTCCGATTTTGCTGCGGAAGCGAAGGCTGCTGGAGTCGGCCGAACTGCCGCCTCTGCCTGCTCTTTCTCCTCCTGTCGGGACTGGGCGTGGGGGGGTGGGGGTGGGGTGGACGGGGCAGGAGTGCTCTCCGCCGCCCGCTTTCCAGGCCGATCTGGCCTTGTGGGACGGCCTCTCTGGCTTTCCCAATGCCAGCGTAGAGGAGGACGACGGCGACCCATCCCAAGGTGCGTGGGGTCGGGTCGAATGCGTCCCCTGCGCTGGCTAGCTGTTTTTCAAACGAAGGCTGGTTCGCTTGCGGTCAGTCTCTGTCAGCAAAAAAAAAATGGTTTGCTGTGTCCCTCTGCGCGGTTCCGCAGCAGGTGATGCCAGACACTCCGCGCCATCGAATCGTCGTGTAGTCCAGTTTGCCTTCTTGCCGTATCGGGCGCGCCAGGGACATCGCGCTACCGAGCTACGGTGTGTCCCTCCTGGTCTTGCCTAAGAATTCCAAACAGCCTTTCTGCAGCGTCCGTCTTGCACTGTTCAAGAAAGAAGCATGCAAGACGGAGTGGCACAATGGAGATAGATGATGGTAGCAGGGATGATGATGATGTTGATGATGTGAACGATGGTGTGGTTGCTGATGTTGATGATGTGATGATGGTGATGATGACGACGACGATGATGCTGATGTTGAAACGGTATTGATGATGATGATGATGATGATGAAGCTCACGACGATGATGATGATGATGATGATGATTATGATGATGATGATGATGGTGATGAGGATGAGGATGAGGTTGAGGATGATCATGCTCATGCTCATGATCATGATCATGATGATGATGATGATGATGATGATGATGATGATGCTGGTCATGATGATGATGGTGATGGTGATGATGCTGCTGATGCTGATGCTGCTGCTGCTGATGATGATTATGGTGATGACGACGATGATGATGATGCTGATGATGATGAGGACGATGATGACGCTGATGCTGATGATGATTATGGTAGTGGTGGTTGTGATGGTGATGATGGTGGTGGTGCAGTTGATCCTGATGTTGATGCTGATGCTACTGATGCTGCTGCTGATGCTGCTGCTGCTGATGATGATCATCATGATGGTGATGATGATGATGCTGATGATGATGATGATGCTGATAATGATGATGATGATGATGAGGAGGATGAGGATGAGGATGAGGATGAGGATGAGGATGAGGATGAGGATGATGATGATGAGGATGAGGATGAGGATGAGGATGAGGATGAGGATGAGGATGAGGATGAGGATGAGGATGATGATGATGATGATGATGATGATGATGATGATGATGATGATGATGATGATGATGATGATGATGATGATGATGATGGGCGCGGGACAACCTCGAGGGTGCAGAGCGAGGGGTGGCAGAGGAGGGAGGGACGATTTCCAGAACACTGGGCACCCAACGGCAACGAGGCCTGGCCGGGCCAGAGGTGGCATCTCGCACGCTGCCACGTCTCTGCCTCTGGCCGCTGCTCATTCCATCAGGCGCGCTCGGGTCACCTACCCTCATTCCTCTCTGCTCGAATAGTAAAACATGGCATAAACATAATTTCCCAGAGCAATGTGTGGATTTCTTGGATCGGCGCTGGCGCCCTCCTGGCGGCGCCTCCAGCGCCATCCATGACGCGCTCCGCGCGCCAGTGAGGGGGTCCAGCACCGATCCAAGAAATCCGCGCGGACCTCCGAGAAATTGTGGTTATACAGTTTTTCGTTCCTCGACCCGTTCTCTATCCCTTCCTCCTCGTCGGCTTCCCGTTCGCATCTGTTCTTAGGATGCATTTTTGTTGGAAGGTGAGTTCCTCAAGCTCATGATCGGCGCTGTAATATCTGCAATCACAGAGCAGGCTCGAATCCCCCGCATCCTGGCCAAATCCCCGGCTGAGTCCTCAGTTTAATGTGGGCCAATCTCTTCTGATGGCCTCCCAATTGTGCCTAACAGCCCTTCGTCGTTCTTGCGAAGACCCCCCAGGAGCTGCCCTCTAGCCCCTTGTCCTCCTCTCTCTCTCTCTCGTTGTGCTTCCTCCCCTATTCCCTCTTTAGGGCGCCGCCTTCATGTCGTCGTCCTCCGCGGCCGCCCCTGGCCTCCTCCTCGCAGATGATGTGCTTCCTTCGAGACTCGCCGCAGCCCCGCTTCTTCGGCCCACTCGCGCGCGACCGCCGAGCCCGCGGCAGAAAGGGTGTGTCCGCCATCCGCCGGCTCTGCTCTCTACTCGCGCCCGCCTCTCTGGGGTCGAGAGGCAATGCCACCATCGAACATGGAACGGACGCCCGTGGACGCCCTTCGGCAACGAGCGCCGCCGGAACGGCCCCAAAAACAAGTTCACCGCAGCGCAGCGCCCACGGGGACACGGAGGGAGGACGAGGGGGGCAGAAGAGGCCCGAGAGCACTTCCGCATGATTTCATCACTGACACGACCAATCTTGTCAGTGGCTCAAGGGGGGGAGGGGGGGGGGGAGGGATGATGAGGAAACCGCAGGAGCAGGGTGAGGGAGGCAAGACATGAGGTGGTTCCTGTGGGGGCCGCAGGAGGTGTGCAGGTGGAGAAGCAGTCAAGACAAGGCATTTCACATTCGCGTTGCATAGCCCGCTTTGCGGGGGTACTCATTAATGTAAGTATCTCGGCGCGTGCGTCTTCTTTCGCGGCTCCCTCGGGAAGGCATGCCATACAGCATGGGAGATGGGCAATGGGGCGTACGTAAGACAACATAATACGCTTGGAATGGTGCATGTAGTGAGGCGTACCGTCGGACCGAGGTGTCCTTCTGTCCTGGGTCCGACTGTGAGAGAGACGGGCAGTGGGGCCCAAGGGAGCAGGGCACGCTCGAAATGATGCACATAGCGAGGCGCAGACCTGCCCCCCCCCTTCACGTTGCACTTTCGCCGGGGAGAGAAGTTGAAATGGAACACCCTGGCGTGTGGGATAGATCCAAGCTTCAGATGTTAGTCTACACTCCTGTTGCCAAAACGCCGCCTTCTAGAAGAAGGCAGCTCGAAATCATGCACATAGCGAGGCGCAGACCTGCCCCCCCCCTTCACGTTGCACCTTCGCCGGGGAGAGAAGTTGAAATGGAGCACCCTGGCGTGTGGGATAGATCCGAGCTTCAGATGTTCGTCTGCACTCCTGTTGCCAAAACGCCGCCTTCTAGAAGAGGGCTAGCTCGGAATGATGCACATCGCGAGGCGCAGACCTGCCCCCCCCTTCTCACTAAGTCAAAACAGACGCCCAGTCCCAGAAACGCGAGGGCCAAGGCAGAATGCAGGCTCCTCGAGACTTCGGGGAGAGAGAGGTTGGGGTAGGCTTTTGCCAGGGAGACGACGACGAACGCAAAACATACCCCGAAATCTTTGGCCGATCTTCGAATCCTTGGTGAATCCGCGATTTTGGGATCGGGGATGTGTTTTTTCGTGGTCACCTTCGCCTTGCACTTTCGCCCTGCGCAGGTCGCGGCGTTGCGGGCCGACGCCGCGGCCGCCAGCCGCGCCGCGCCGGCGCCCCCCGGCGCTGCGGCGCAGCGCTCGGCGGGGCTGCTCCGGGAGCGCTCGGGGGGTGCGAAGCCACATCGGGTGCTCAGGGAACGCTCGAGGGAACGCTCGAGGGAACGCTCAGCGCACGGGTGCTCAGGGAACGCTCGAGGGAACGCTCAGCGCACGGGTGCTCTCCTGGGCCTTGGCATCGCTCGGACGTGTGCCTTTTTTTGCTCGGCGAGGGCCCTCGAGGAACATCTTGGATCACCTCGCGAGGAAAAAGGAAGCACGACATGGAGAAGCGCGCACGGGGAGTCGACGTCCGAGCGCTGGCGAGGCAAGTGCTCTCCTGGGTGCAATCCCCGAGTCCCTGGGGCCGCTCGTGTGCGTGTCAGGCTGTATGTAGCCCCTGGGGGGGTTGAATTGGTCGTCGGCCCTGGCATCTCCTTGAGGCTCATCTGGCTCAGTCTGGCCCTATCTGACTCAGCGGCACCGTAACGGGTACGCACTAACGGGTACTTTGAAATTTGCCGAAAGTTGCCACTTCAGAGCCTTTTTCTGGCATGCAGCGTTGCCCACATCGGGAAAGGTTGGGTTCGCCGGGACACTGGCCAAAATACCCGTTAGTGGAGTCCCTGTTAGGGCGGCGCCGATTGGCCTGATCGGGCCTGATCCAGCCCAGTCTGTCTTAATCCGTCTCGGCCCAACATGATGCCACCACCCCAGCAGAAGAGATGTCGCCCCATTCCCTTGGGTCGTGGGCCTCTGTCCGGACGGGGCCAGGACGAGGATACAGTCAACCCGCATAGCAAGCATGGGCAACCTTGCCATCCTAGGCGACTTTCGCTGGCCAACCTCGTTTGCAGAAACGTTCATATGGGCCTCCAAGGCCCTTGCATCCTTGCCGCGTATCCTTGTGATATGGGTTGACTGTGAATCCGTTCCAGAGCGTTCCGGATTGCTCTGAGAAGGCCGCGGCGCCCGAGACAGCCTTCAGAGCCGTCGGATCTCAGAGATGTTCGATCTATCCTCGTCCTGATTTTTATCTTTGTCCTGGCTTCGTCTTGGCACTTGTCTCACGACCACCACTCTGCGCCCCTGCTCAGAAAGAAACACCGCCACAGGGCAGCCGCCTGCTCCTGATCTGCAGCTGTGGCTCCTCCTCCTCCTCCTCCTCCTCCTCCTCCTCCTCCTCCTCCTCCTCCTCCTCCTCCTTCTCCTCCTCCTCCCCCTCCTCCTCCTCCTCCTCCTCCTCTTCCTCCTCCTCCTCCTCCTCCTCCTCCTCCTCCTCCTCCTCCTCCTACTCCTCCTCCCCCCCTCCTCCTCCTCCTCCTCCTCCTCCTCCTCCTCCTCCTCCTCCTCCTCCTCCTCCTCCTCCTCCTCCTCCCCTCCCCCCTCCCCCTTTCCTCCTCCTCCTCCTCCTCCCTCCTCCTCCTCTTCCTCCTCCTCCTCCTCCTCCTCGTCCTCCTCCTCCTCCTCCTCCTCCTCCTCCTCCTCCTCCTCCTCCTCGTGTGGGACATCGCGCTAGGGCTCCAGCGGCCGTCGGCGGTCCCCTTGGGCATCTCTCAGCCTGCCGACGGCTCCGCCCAGGCTTCGCTGCCTGGAGTCCTCTATGGCTCGACGCTCCAATACCGGACAGCTCGTCACGAGCAGCCACCAGGGTAAGAATCGCAGTGGGTGCGCTGGGACGCGCTCGTTGCGGGGCCCATCCAAGACAAACCCCTCCGAAGCCTCTCGGGGCCCCGTCTCGGACACCCTCTGACCTCTGACCCCCCCTGGGACCCCCTCCACGGGATTCCCACCGGGACTCTCCAGGACCCCCCCCCCCGGACCGCCCCCCCCTACAGTGGAAACACATGCCAAGAAACACCCTGCTTGCCTCCAGGGTGCCCTGGGTTTCTTGGGTGTCGATGTTTTTGCTATGGAGTACGTGGCGTTCCAGGGGTTCCAGGGTTGGGTTTCTGGTGGAAGGTGTTTTGTGGTCGAGCTCCTACTTTAACCCCCCCCGGGGGGAAGGGATCAAAGGGAAGTGGCTTCCCTTCGACTCAACTACAACGTTGCCCGATTTCGCCTAGGTTGTGCTTTGGCTTGAGGAGGAGGGCCCAGTGAAAGAGGGATGGTGAGCGGTGAGGAGCCCAGGGACAAGGGGGTCGAACACGCTGACGATGGCGACGACGACGACGACAAGGGCGACGACGACGACGACGACGACGACGATGACGGCGACGACGGCGACGACGACGTAGAAAACCGTCGTTTACACGTCGATAGGGTCGGCGATGTGTTCCGAGCCGGTCGCATATACAATTACTTCCGTTACTGCCAACATTAATATGACGATTTTCCGAAACGTATTCGTAACATTTGTATGACTGACGTTATCACAGTAGCTACTGCTGTTACGGCGAATACAACCAGAAGCATTGCTGCCACCACGAATGCTACACTTACGGTACTACTACTGCTCAGTATATTACTAAGGCTTATACCCTGGTTTGCCGATGTATGCGATTTCATGCTCACTTGCGCACTCCGCAATCACCGTGCAGATTGAAGACCATGTGCTTCGCGTCCGTGAGGGACGGACTCCAGAGGGGACGTAGTTGGTGTTTGGAGGTTGCTTGAACGAACGGTATACATGAAGACCCGTCCACCTTTGGTTTATATGCTTACGCAATTCCGCGGGTCCGCTCCGTGGTGTTCACAGGGGTTGTGGTGCAGGCCGGTGATGCTGCGGAAGTTGCGGTGGGCACAAGCTGTATCGTGTACGCAGGCGTGGTGGTGCGCGTTGTCAGCGGGTTACACGGGCACTCTAGGCCCGACGTGGAGAGGGGCAGCTTCATTTCGACCAGAAAGCCCACTTATCACACATCATTCACAGGCGTATTGATTATGATACGCTCTCCCACTAACGATGTTGCAGTTTCGGGCCCTGTTGGGACCCTCGATGTGCACATAGGCTCCGTGGTGTACACAGGCACTGTGGTGCACGCGGGCGCCAGGCGCTGCGGTGCACACGGTAGCTGTGGAGGCACCCGCGTCGTGTGATGCGTTATCATTGTGGAGCACAAGTGTCGTGTTGCAGAATAGCGCTGTGGTATTTGACATACCGTCAACCCGCATAGTGAGGATGGACGATTTTCTCAAGGGCACACTTGCATCCTTGCTTTCTCGGCCCATCTTTAGCCACTTTTGCTGGCCGCGCCCCGCTCGAACAGCTTCGAAACGGCACTCCGAGGCCCTTTGCACCCTTATCATGCATCCTTATGATACGGATTGACTGTATGTTGGCCAGGCCCTTTCTTGGGCGCAGGAGCAGTGCAGATGCCTTCCTGGCCAGGGCAGAAGGGGAGGAGGAGGAGGAGGAGGAGGAGGAGGATGAGGAGGAGGAGGAGGAGGAGGAGGAGGAAGAGGAGGAGGAGGAAGAGGAGGAGGAGGAGGAGGAGGAGGAGGAGGAGGAGGAGCAGGAGCAGGAGCAGGAGCAGGAGCAGGAGCAGGAGGAGGAAGATCCGATCCCTACCTGCATGCTCGTTCTGGCTGTTCTCACGTACTCCACATCCTTCAAAAAGCACACACCCCGTGCCCACCTGTCCGACGCCCCTTGCCCGCCCCCCACGCGCCCTAAACCCACCCCCTCTCGCTCCCCAACCTCCCCACGCCACCCGAAGGACAGCGATTCCCCCCCCCCACCCCCACGCGATCCACCCCCCACGCTTACTGAGAGACCTTGAGTATGCTTCCGCTCTCCCAGACGCAGACAAGCGCCTCTGTGGCGCGCTCGCAGGCACGCGGCCTCGCTCGCGGGCAGGTACATACGGTGCCCGCTGGGACGCGTGGCTCGTGCT